CAAAATAAGGCAAATTATTAAATTAGATATGTTTGAATTTTACCATTCATTACACAACCAGAAATAGAGTGTTATAAATGGTGGGGCAATTGTCAAAACATGAAAACTGCAAAACAAGAGTAAACCTGGAAATTATTCTTCTGAGTACAAAGCTTTATGAATTACACATAATCTGTAAACAGCTAGTGACAGCAATGGCATTTCAGTGCATCTGAATTTTAAATAACTAAGGCTATTAAAAAAACCAAAAGCCTACTATTAAAAAATTTAAAAGCCCCCAAATGATTGATTGGCATTTGTGTACAGTCATTTCCTGTATTTATACTAGCATGTTCTTTCTTATTTCAAGCACATTGAAAATCTCCCTTAACTAGTAAAATGAGTCTCTGTAGAACACACATTAGACCACCATGAAAATAATAAAACAAACTCAAATCACACCATTTACTCATCTGTACTTGAATAACAATAAGAATTTCATTATATTTGCTTGGAATTTGACACTACTGGATCAAGTCTGCTGCTTGATTAAAAAATTTAAAAACGAAGAGGAAAGCATCTGACTTCCTAACGGGATAGTTTTCACTAAGTACCAAGCTGACTCCAAAGAGTTATGATTAGTCTCTTACATTCATTAAAAGATTCAAAGATGCATTTGTGTAGATCCTTTTAGTTATGTTAAGCACTTTAGTAATAGGCCAAGTCAATTAATAAATCTTAAAAAAATGTTTCATTAAGTTGCTGGAATAAAATCTTTGCTTCATACATTAAACTTAATTTGATTCATAATCTAAGTAATTAAGAGCAAGAAACTATGAAGAAAATCAAAGAAACTATTTGGATCTTGATAAACCTTTAAGGTAGAAGATGATCAAATGTGATTTTAGGGGCAGAAACAAAAAAAAACTGTTGGCAACTCTCCTTAGATCTATTCAGATTTAAAAGTAACAGAATAGGGCTTCCCTGGTGGCGCAGTGGTTGAGAGTCCACCTGCCGATGCTGGGGACACGGGTTCGTGCCCCGTTCTGGGAAGATTCCCACATGCCGCGGAGCGGCTGGGCCCGTGAGCCATGGCCGCTGAGCCTGTGCGTCCGGAGCCTGTGCTCCGCAATAGGAGAGGCCACAACAGTGAGAGGCCCGCGTACCGCAAAAAAAAAAAAAAAAAAAGTAACAGAATAGAAAGATTTAAAGGTAACAAAACAGAGGAATATGATGTTTATCAACTTTTACTTGTAAGTAAGTTAAGCATTCATCAGTTTCTGCTGGATAAATGTTAGAAACTATGTATCATCAATTTTAAAAGACTACTTAAAAACGGAGAAAACCTGAAGATACTAAGTTATGATCTATGAAGTTATTTAATAATATCACTTAAAAAGTAAAGTGCTAAGAATCTGTTTAAAAAATACATTGAAAACTAGTTTCAAAGAATGGGGTTTTGATTTTTCCAGGGTCTTTAAAAAGGGCTGGTATTAATTTTTATAAGAAAAATAGCTTTCTTTAACGATGCCGGTAAAATCCAAGAGTGTCATTAGTCAACTGAGTATCTTTATTTTGTCCTTATTCTCTCTTTGGGCACCACAGCACTGTCAAAAGCATTTTCTGCAAAGATGGAAATGTTCTATATCTGTGCTGTCCAAAATGGTAACACACTTTCCACAGGTGGCTTCTGAGCACTCGAAATGTGGCTGGCGGATTGGGGAACTGAATTCTTCACTTTACTTAATTTAAATTAGCACATGTGGCTGTGAACTGGCTAGTGAATTGGACAACGCAGGTCTAGAATCTACTCTTAACTAGATTAACAAGCAGCCAACGGATGCTACAGACATTTAGAAGGTGACTTACCCACTTACCATTTCGTCCTTGTGTGTGAGTGTGACTGTGTGTGTGTGTGTGTACAGGTGTGTTTCATTTTTATTTTTTTACTCGGGGAGGATGAAAGTGGCCCTTCCCTCAAAGGTCAGAGTCTAGCCTTCTCTATTTGTGCTTCTCTCTTCTAGGTGACCTGCCCACGCCAAGCATACCAGCAGAGCAGAGGGTAACGCAGAAGAAAGCACTACAGAAACTTTTCACACCATAAAAGCATTTCTCTCATCCAGAAACGCAAAATAAAAAACTTTAAGAGAAAGTTCTTATGAGCAAATCTCCCTATTCTTTGGCAGCAATCATCTGTGTCAGTGTTTATGTAACAACAAATATCTCACTCTCTTTTGACTAGGGTTGGAATACAGATATACTCAAGTACAAGCGGAGGAGTCCTGACTCCTCAAAGCATCTCTTAAAAGAATCAGCTGAAAACTCTGCTATATTTGAACTTAAGAAAACGGCCAAGTTCATAAAGCATACGTTATAGTAGAACTCAGACTATTTTTGTAGCATCCTGCCCTTGTTAGTGTCTGCCTTTTCCCATCACCTCACCCCCACCATTTTCCAGATTCTTGGACTTCACAGCTCCTGGAACCTGGCTTTGTTTCTCCTGTGTTTGAGTACATGCAATGTTGAAGAAACTATGAAAGTGAAGGACAGTTTGCAGATTTGTATTTTAGGAGACAGGTAAATGGCAGGTAAGAGCATCTTCTGATTAACCAGAAGACTGTTTACTTTGTATTAATGCAACTTTTGTTTTCAACAAAAAGTTTTAAGTGTGTCTGCATTTGAGAGAACTTGGCTTCATGAGTACTAACTTATGAGTCTTATTAATGTGAAATATAAAATGTAATTCATGCCTAGTAGCCCTAACCCAGCTTCAAAGAGAGTTCTAGACTTAGAACTTCAGATCTGACTTTAAACATTTCAGGAACAGTACATAGCCTATTTATTTGGGCAATCTTTTACATTTTTCTTAGTGAGTGTTCCAAAATAAGGAGAAGATCCCCAGTGGAAAAGATGTAAGTAGAAAATGCCACAGAAAGGTAGAAGGAAAATAATTATCTAATATTAGTAAAGTGCTGTGAATCTTGCAGTAAAGTATAAATAATACATAAGTGACTAGAAGTAGTAAATAATATTAAGACATTCATCTCTAATAGTGACATCTATAAAATAAACACCCTATAGATTGTATATACAGTAATCACTGTCCATAGGTTGACAAATACACCGAGAATAAACATGAGTTCCTTTTATAACTTTTACAATATCAATGCTAATCAAATTATTTTCCTTTGTCAATTTGGAGATCTCTAAGGCAACGGTGCCTGCGCAGAAGTCTCCCACACACATTAAAGCCTCAGCATGCTTTGCTAATTTTCTTTTTCTCACTTTGAGATTGCTCTTCTCGTGATATTTAATTATTCTTTTAAGCTCTGAGTCAATATAATTTAGGATATTTGATAGCCCCACTGTCCTTAAATTTTGAGGGTACGGACACCTTCTCTGATGATTTCATCTGCAGACCCTAAACATCTAATTCAGAGCCTGGCAGTGATGTATTAGGTATATAAAGGCTCTCCTTGAATACACACACACACACACACACACACACACACACACACACACACACATGAAGTCTACTCTTCATTTTTTTTTTTTTTAAAGAAGATGTTGGGGGTAGGAGTTTATTAATTAATTTATTTTTGCTGTGTTGGGTCTTCGTTTCTGTGCGAGGGCTATCTCTAGTTGTGGCAAGCGGGGGCCACTCTTCATCGCGGTGCACGGGCCTATCGTGGCCTCTCTTGTTGCGGAGCACAGGCTCCAGACGCGCAGGCTCAGTAGTTGTGGCTCACGGGCCCAGGTGCTCCGTGGCATGTGGGATCCTCCCAGACCAGGGCTCGAACCCGTGTCCCCTGCATTAGCAGGCAGATTCTCAACCACTGCGCCACCAGGGAAGCCCTTGTCTTCATTTTAAACAAAATTTTCTGTGGGGCTACTACGTATAATTAAGGGAGACATGGTTTGCAAACCAGACACAGCAGCGGACCTAGATAACTGCTAGGAAGTTGGTAGTGAGTTTCAGCCACCACAGATTTCTTCCCATCTCATCAGATCATCCTATCCTCATGGCTTTAAATCACTATCTTAGATTTAGTAATGGGTTAACAGTTTCAAAATGAAAATAGATGCTTTCCCCTCCACTCATAAACATGTACAGTTAATACTGTGTGCCCAGTTAATGTCCACTGAAGGGAAGGACAATTAGAATATAAATTATTTTTTGTCTGCTCTTTTTTATTGAATGATCATGTAATAAAATCAGGAGATTTTATGTGAACTATTACCTTAGGAACATTTGTTAAGACAAGTATAGGTTTAATAGTGTTAGCACTTCTATCTGCCTGGATATTTGTTCAAAATTAGGCCTCTTCTTTTCCCGATAATCGATTCTACTCACTAGGAATGGATCTGCCTTGACAGCCTTCGGTTACTTTCCGATTTCTAAGTTCACTTATATACAGCATACAAACCTATCTCACAGAATATTATTGGAAAATGTTAGAAAGCAGAAAAATACTGAAAAGAGACGTAATTGCTGAAATAGAATTGTTAGGAAACATCCACAGACCACAACTGCTAAAACTCATATACTTGCCATAATTAGCTTCGGGTCTCTTACTTCTCAAATAAACTAATGTCCCTTTCTCTATCATTTTAAGTGCAGTGTGAAGAATTCAAGCATACTTCAAGATAACATTAAATATAAGTTTTAAAGTTTTTATATTTATAAATACATGGGAATTGGATTGATAAAAGGCTGCTTAAAAACAAAATTATGAGTACGTATTTTCCAAGAACATAATCAGTGATTTAAAAGAGATGGATGTCATCATATTTGTGCTGTCCTTCATTTATAAAAAGGGAGATAAATATTGATACTTCCGTGATTTAGGGGGATGGGGAGGGGCAGAAATTAGCTGTGTCGGTAGCAAATTATTTTATGTTTTTTAGGCTTCTGAGAAAGAAACAGTATTTATTGCACAACTTTAGAACAATAAAATTATCTTGCTTAAATTGGACACTAAAATATTTTCAAATTTTTCCATAAAATAAACATATACCAATTATTATTTAAATATGCTTTATACAAAGTAAAAAACTGGATGACAGATACATTGAGAATGGCCTCCCTCATATAAAAACTTCATGATACAAAATATTCGAATCATTATAGTTACAAAGAATTAACTCTGAAATTGCTTTCTAAATGTAGTGAAACTGGGTTGCACATCTACTAAAATAAGCTGCCATTTTGACAGTTGGGACTATAGGAAAAGAGATTATCATTATTGAACGGAAAAGCCCTTTTAACATATAAAAAGGGAAAAATTTTAAAACATGCTAAAGTAATTTTCAAAGATTCTGAGATCCCATCTTATTTTGTTCTGTTCAGTCCTTCCTACCCTGTAAGGGTAAGACTCCTGCTCACTGTTAAGGAGTACAATCCTGCATCAGTTCAACAGCCATTTCTAGGCAAAGAGTCACTTTGTAATATAAGGATAAAAAGTCAAAACATGCTCCCATAGTTGAATGAACAGACAACAAGAAGCATGTTGTTATTCTGCCCCTAGCAAAAAGCAAGATGCCAAGCACCTTCCTCTCCCTTTAGGATCACAGGTTCTTATCCCAGTAGCTGTAAACTAACTAGGTTTACACTATCTGTGGGTTGTGGATGCTTTTTCAGATAAACCTCATGTGTTCCAACTGGGGAAAAGTGTAACACTCCTGGAGTCTGAGATCTGGATCACTGGAGATTAAATGCAGGGAGCTGGGATAAATTCAAAAATTTAGAATTTTATTTCAAGTAAATTCTTATATCAGAATAAAGATTTTCAAGTTTTCAACACGGTGTTATCTTTAAGATGAATGCTTGTCGGAGCACAAGAGACACTACAAAATATTTCATATCATTAGATATGAATAAATAAAACTGCAGTTGAAAAGGAAGTGTGAGTAAAATAGCTCAAAAATAAAATGTACCTTTTCTTCAACCTAAATCCCCCTTCCCCTCACAATCACTTACTGCTGGTTTGTTTGCACAGCACCGGTTTTCATGCCTTGCTGAAGACTGCTGATATATATGGGCTGATGTTTCTGACTGGAAACATTTAGCTCAAGTTTGTACAACTGAGCTTTTATCATACAGACAAAGCAGTAAGACCGTAACAAAATAACAGCAGACAGTATTATCCTTATTATAATGAATCATCTCGTTAGCCAATTTTACCAGGCTGGGCCATCAAACAGAAATAATTCAATGCTGATCAATTTTAGAAAATGGAGCCTTTGTTTTGGTACTTCTTTTTCTTGGTTATTATTAAATAATCAGACAAATACTAAAAAAGGTATGATCGGGTTTTTGCAAGTTTTTTAAAGATACGTACAGCTGTATTACGTACTCTCTTTTTAAGATGCGGTAAGCATAATATTTGCTGGATTTTTTTCCCCTTTACAAACTTCTTAAATACACACTGCAGAATATAAATTTCATGCTTTTGTAGTCTTTAGTTATTAACTCTGTATTTTCTCACCCTGGTTAGAGGGAAAACAGAAAATAAGCTTTTTGTTCACAAGAACTCAGACAGGGGGTGATGGCTCAACCCCAACCTTAGCGCACTAACTCTGTGCTGACTCCACAGTGTGCCCAGCGTCATCGCCAGAGAAAGAGAAATGTAAAAATCCTGTCCAAAGCTGAGCAAAGGAAACGGGGTCCTCACTGGGACAGCAAAGTTCTATTCCTGACTTTTAAGAAAACATCACAGAATGTTTAGAAATAAAGTTTCTGCTATGGAACGAAAGCAATATACTAAAATTTAAACATACTGTAAAGGTGAGTGAAACTTACGAACGTAAGCACCAAAATAATGGCATGCTGAAGAAAAATAAGACGGAAAACTTCTTTCTAAAAGCTTGGCACTTTCCTCTCCCATTCAGAGAAACATATCTGAGCAGGGGGATGGGTAGGAGACCAGGACTGGGACAGTAAATAGAGAACTAAAATTAAAACCTCTCCTCTCATGGGATATAATCCATTTAACAAACAGCTCATGGACTCTGATTTTCATCTATCTTATTTTGCAGCTATATTTCCCAATAATTTTAATTTTACCAAGGTGAGTGTTCATGCCCTGTTTTAAAACTGTTGGATCCTTACTCTGATTTGTGAAATAAAGGGATGGGGAGGGGTGGAGGTGGGGGAGGGTTACCCATCTTAAATCATTTTTAATCTTTCATTGTCAAAACTTTCTATGTTGATTAGGTCTGCTTGCCCTCCTGAAACCCCACGATGCATTCCACTCGCTGGTTCTCTCCATTACTACTAAGTCTTCCTGCTTTTCTTCTTACCAGGCAGAAGCACTCACACTGAGCTCAGACTTCTGTACTTAATGTAAAAAATTAGCACAATGCATGGAGTCATTTCTGTGTATATTCTAATACCTTTCTTCAAGTACAGTTTCTGAGGACAAATGAAAACACCTAAAATAGTCTTTAGGTCGATTTCTTATTAAAAAAAAGGAAATAAGGATTTAAAATCAAACACTGGAATATAGTTTCTGAAAATTCTTGATTATGTTTAGCTTGATTTAAAGTTACTCATTTGTATTTAATACACAAAACTAAATGAAACCTGAACTTCTAAATAGCAAGTATATGAAATAAAATCTTCTTAATAGGTGACCTATCCAAAACCGAAAACAAATGATCGACCTAGTTTCAGTAAATTTTTGCTTTACTGGGCTCTGGGCTATGGTGCAAGAAAAAGGCTGGAGGGGAACTGAAATATAATTTGGGGCCAATATGGAAAGTTAGGCAGAGACATTTCATGATCAAATGAATGACATTTTGCATTTATATAGCACCTTATATAGTCAAAGTGCTTTACAATCATTATTACTTGACAGCCATTCATCAATGTAAATAAACATAGTTTATAATCTGTCAACAAATGTAAGCACTTTGGGGCAACCAAATACCCAAGAGAATCTACTCAGTAGCAAACTCTTAGACTAGTACATAGAATTAAGAAAAAATACGACAGCCACCTGTCATAACATCAGACACAAGAAGTCACTTATTGATCCTAACGACTGATACTAAGATGTTAAGTATTAGGAATTATTGAGAAATAGCAGGTTTTATGTTAAGGAATAAGTAAGACAAATGAGGTGCAAGTCAACAAGGAAATTACCCCAAAGGTAAGGCCACCTATGACTCATAAGTATATAAAAAATACATCTTTTATATACTTTTATATGTGGAGGGCAGTTGCAACGAAATGTCAGCCCATTGCTAGAATCTGATCCTCAGTTACTGTGATATTCCAAAAAAAGAAGAAAAATGAACACACTGCCTGATTTTTTTTCTTCTGTAACTTCTCCCCAAATAACCTAACCAGTGCATTCACTTCTGCCAGCAAATAAGATAGTAGGAAATAATGAAATTCTATTTATGTTTTAAAAATAGTTTCCAAATCTTTGGACAAATTTAATTTCCTATAAAACAATGTGAAAACTCAGTTTTTCCCTCTAAATAGTTCTATCAGGTGCCTTAGGTAAGATCTGATTAGCACCTCTGCCAATGTATTTATGTCTTTGCAAAAAGTGCACTTGCCAACCATTTTACATAGTAAGTATGCAAGTTATTTGAAGTGCATTTGGAAAACAATTGAAAACACAGATTAATACATCATAAAAAGATTAATTCCCTTTAAACAAAGACATTCTTAGAAAGCATGGTAACACAGAGACACAATAAAGAATATAAATTGTATATCAATTATTGGCAGAAAATCTAATTCATTACAAAGCCTACACCATTGGGGAAAGGACATTTTCATACAAAGAAAAGTACTACACTAATATACAACACTTTTAATTGGGCATTTAAAAATTTTTTGGCACGTTAAAAGGAACCAAAAGGACTACAAAATAAAGGACCAAGAAACTAAAACATTATAGATACAGAAGAGAGAAAGTCCTCAAATGGAAAACAACTAAATACATGAAATACAGACAAAATATAAGCTGGCTGAATTTCCTGAAATGTTATATGTAACAGAAGTATGCTTTGAATGCGGGGTGTTTTTTATTCTAATGGCAGGACTTGTCTACCTTGCTGTGGCTGGCTGGACGTGGCCCGGGTAAGACCTTCTCGTGCTGGTGGCTTGTCTCTGCCTCGCCAGGAATGACTGCCCCGAACCTGTACTAGCAAGTCTGTCTTCTGCCGCCTTTTTATGCAGAGTCATTCCCTACGTAACACGGAAAAAAAGTAATCAGTGAAAAAATAATGGAACACACCCTCACAAAAGAAAATTTCATCGCGCAGAATTTGTTACCTGACGACATAAGGCACAATTAGGAACGTTCACTCTGCTCATGATAGATTAAAATCTTAGAGACATTTAAGTTCCAACAATTAGGTACAAATCTTTTGGAAAAATTAAGGCTTAATTTTCTGAATTTACAATAACCCAAACAATAGATTATAATAGAGATGGATCTTTGGAATGCATCGTCCATACTCAATCATACATACTTCCCTTTCGAATCAAATGCATAAAGTGATTTTCCAAGAAAAAAAGGGCAATTGATTGGTAGCAGTTGATTCACGTGGGGATGTGGAAATCAGAGGGTTTAGTTAGAATAGAAAACCACAAAAGCACTTGTTCTTTCTTAGGGTGGAAAGTCACACCAGGTATAATACATACCACCACGCTGCTTTTCTTCACAGGCACACTTGTTAAGGGAAGTTCCTGACGGCTGGCCCACACAGCGGGCCCAAGGAGCGCAGGGGTCCTTCCCGAGGACTGGAGAAGGAGGCCTACCCGCTTAGAAGGGGGACGAGCCCACCTGCCGGGCCCAGGGCACCTGAACGGGAGGGAGAACCTGTGGCGCTCTCTAAACGCGGAGGAGTAAACAATGAGGACCCCGAGTAGATCCGGTAAAAAGGGTTTCGGTTCTCATTTAATAAGCTAGCGAAGAACCCTGGCCAGAGAAGCAGGAAGAACTGGGTGCGGCAGCTTTGTCTCACCGGTGATTGGAAGCGAGATGACGGGAGGAAGCGGACGCCGGCAACAGGGAAGGAGGAGAAACAGAGCCGGGAGAGAGGCGGAGCAGGCGCCAGAGGCGCTGGGCAAACCCGCACAGAAGGCAGAAGGCAAGACAAACCTCCCAACTCCCGTCACCTCCAGGGAAACTGGGGTCATGGCTCTGCGTTTCAAACAGACCCCAATGCACAACATTCTCCACTCTCCCCACGAGAAAACCCAGGATGTGCTTTTTACTCAGTTTGGAATTAAAGCATTTAAGGATCTGAATAAAATGGACAAATCTGTTAATTTGGCTACATAAATTAACAATTATATTTTATTTAAAATATACCTTTTTAACTTTCATATTCTAAACAACTTATTCAAATTCTAGACTCCCCTTCAAGATCTCAGTATCCATCATGAGGCCATTCCCTGAGATACTTAATACCTTTTCCCAGCACTCACCATCCTCACTTCCAGTTCGGTTGTCTGGGATGCAGAACTTTCTGAATGTATGTATGAAGCTGTTACCGGCTACCCTATCTGAACATAACTTGTGTGATCCTACTGGGAGTTATTCCTTCACTCTCCGCAGAGCTGAAAACTAGGATTCTTCTTTAATACCACGTCACAGAATAAATCAGTTTTGTTCCATAAGAAACACAATATGTGAAGTCATAAAAATCAATCAGGTATATGAAATCACTAATACGGACTGAGGGGCAGAGCTCCCAGATTGCTAACATTAACCTTGAAGGAGGACGAAGGGAAAACAATGTGGGTGAAGTCAGGACTAGTTCCCAGAGACCTTCCTTAAACACAGGTTTTTCTTATTTTTTACATTTTAATTTTCAATTAATCTATATTTGTTAACAGTAATGGTAATGTAAACCCAGTATGATTTCCTTTTTTGTTTTTTAAAATTGTGATAAAAATCTTAAATATGCAGTACCAAGGCAAATATAAATGTGGACATGTCATAAAACTGTATGAAATTTTGACAAAGTTCAAATCACATTATTAGGAGACCTGGGACATGAACCTTTCAGACACAGTATCAATTATAACGGTAAAATGGTATAATTTACAATTGTAATTGTAAAACGGTACTGTGCCAGTAACACAACTACAGGGTCAGAGGGGTATGATGAAAGGAATCTGGTCCAACTTCCTACCTCAGGCAGCTAACGCTTTGAAAAGGCGGAGTGGTCTTATTGGGAAGAAGAACAAAGCAGAAAAAGAAGAAAAGGTCTAAGAAAAAAAATATTGAAAAAGTACAGCATTTTTCAAAATCCATAGCTCTTCATATCCAGAAAAGTCTTACTGAAGCCCAAAATGCTGATAAGCATTTATTTTCCCCTGCAATACGTTTAAGATTTTTTGTTGTAAAATTCAATTTCAAAACCTTCAGCTGTTCAGGGTCTAAGACTGTGAACATTTACCAAAACCTGAGAGACAGTTAAACTATTTTCATTACAAGTACCACTCCTGCAAAGGCACTGAAATAGTACCACAAAACAAAAGCTACCGTATCTGTGTTTAGATATTATTAAAGTCCCTACCACCCGAGAATAAAATGGTCCTGAGAGACAGAAATCTTTCTATCCTCTAGGACAGGGATAATGATGTGTCCACAATGTTCTAGCCCCGTTTACGGTAGTTCCTGTATCTGTTGTTTGGCCCTAAGATGAGCATTAGGGTTTTGTTAGTGTGTGTTAGGACAGTAATTACTTTCAGATTCATTTGGTAGAATTAATTCTACAGTAAAGGGAGTATAATAAATGATACATATTCACTGAATTTCGTAATATGTTTTGATGTGTTATTTTCTTACCATATTGTACCAGGCACTAACAATATATTTCTCCTCCATCTCTCTTTGACTCTTTGTTTTCTCATATTCTTTCTAAAAAGCAAGCACATGTAAGCATGTTAAGATGAAAAACAATTCAACATAAATAAAATACTCACAATAAACTATCTAAGTTCACGGGCACAACTCTACAGTCAGCTCTCTATATCCATGGGTTCCACATCCACGGATTCAACCAACCCCAGATCGAAAATGGTAAAAAAAAAAACAACCAACCAACCAAACAACCAGGAAGTTCCAAAAACCAAAACTTGAATTTGCCACGCATAGGCAACTATTTTTTTTTAAAGTATGGATATCTTTTTTAAAAATTAATTAATTATTTTTGGCTGCGTTGGGTCTTCGTTGCTATGCGTGGGCTTTCTCTAGTTGCGGCGAGCCGGGGCTACTCTTCATTGCAGAGCGTTGGCTTCTCATTGCGGTGGCTTCTCTTGTTGTGGAGTACGGGGTCTAGGCGTGCGGGCTCTAGAGCGCAGATTCAGTAGTTGTGGTGCACAGGCTTAGTTGCTCTGCAGCATGTGGGAATCTTCCCGGACCAGGGCTCGAACCCGTGTCCCCTGCATTGGCAGGCGGATTCTTAACCACTGCGCCACCAGGGAAGTCCCCATAGGCAACTATTTACATAGCATTTACATTGCATTAGGTATTATAAGTAATCTAGAGATGGTTTAAAGCACATGGATGATGGGCTTAGATTTTATGCAAATAACCACATTCACTACTTTCTACGAGGGACTTGCGCATCCATGGATTTTGGTAACTGTGACTCGTGGATGTTGAGGGACCACTGTGCACAGCAAGGCTTCTAGAATCGAAAATTTAAAAATCAAATGTCTTATCATATTACAGTAAACTACCTCCAATGAATAGAATTGCCGATCCCGTTCGTGGAGCTGATTTTTAAGAGCTTGTATTTCTGGTGCTGCTCCTTGATTTTGTTTAGGATCTAAAGTACGGATAACCTGCAAAAAGTAATAAAAGAAAAACTTTAAAAGTCTCAAACCCAAGGAGTGTAATATCTAAGGAAGCAGTCATTAAAAAAAAAGATAAACCTTATGAGACTCAAAAGTTATCTTACGTGGACACTTTAAAATCTGAATGTATAAAATGATATCCAGTTGTTACAATTCTTAATTATATAAAAATTTAAAATTATGTGAAAGAGTCAGTGATAAGAAGTAATTCTGGCTTGAAATTAATCACACTACAGCAGACACTACTGACAGCAATCTTCCCTTTTCCGTTCCTCTGACTTGGTTCAGGGGCCTCTGCCTCTGACCAGATGTGCGAGGATGGAGCGGGTCCCAGTGGTCCACAAGCCTGTCTCTGTGGTCCTTCTCCTTTGCCAGACGCTGGGTTTACACACAGCCTGGTGACACAATTCTAGCTGGCCCACCAGAGGGCTTCTGGGAAGGGTCTTTGCTTTTTGGCTCAGCAGTTTTACTATCAAAAATGATCAACCCCATAGAAAACTTGAAAGAGCAGAACAATAAAAACCCATTTCCTTTAACCCGGATTGACCAACTGCAGCACTGCCACCTTTGTCTCATGACACATGACCCTCAAGCACTTCAACACGCATCTCCTTAGACTAAGGACATCCTCCCACAACATCTGTAAGAAAGTGAACCTCTCTATAAGTCATCACGATTCAGCCCAAATCCACATTTCCACAGGTGTCCCCAATCCAGGATCGCTGCATTTGGCAGGGAGGTCCCTTTGGGCTCCTTTACAGGAGAACAGCTTCTGGTGTTCCATGATGCTCCAGTGCCTATTTCTGCTTTCATAATGTGGATTCTCATCCCAAAGTCTGGATTTATCTGATGCCTTCCTGAAGGTGTTACTTAACTTGCTCCAGTAACCTCCTTTTCCCTGGGAACTGGAGCTAGGCCAGAAGCCCTGAGCACTGCCAACAGCAAGGCTCATCTGGAGACAGAGGCGGGCCCTCCCGCCAGGCACAGCCGATTTTGATAATTAGGCAAGGTGGGGCTGCCACTCATTTCCTACATAGAAGGGTGATTCCCTCTTGGTAACGAGTAAGTAACCTGGGGCTGGGGCGACCTGTTTTGATCACGGCCTCTTGCTCTTTTTGTCGAAAGACTCCTCGTGTCCTTCTGTGTGAGAGGTCACCGTTCAGGCACTGTATTTTGAAACATCAGCGAAACACAATGAGAAAGTGCAGTGAGAGGCCCACAGACTCACACTTACACTTTTGGCTTTCTCTAAGTATTTTTTATATCTTTCTTCCATTTGCTTCATTTCCTCTTCTTTCTTCCGTAAAGCTTCTTGTAATTCTTCAATTTTTAAGGCTATCGGTGAGACAGTAAAAAATTAAAAATTTTTTAGACCTACCAACTTGAAAATATTTCAACTGACAAAATAGTAAACAGCTTTGAGAGACTGTTTTGTCTATACTTATATATAATTTTATTTTTTTAAATTCACAATTTTTTTAAACAAAAAGCTTTTCTTAGAAATAAACAAAAACTACACTATGGAAGTGCACAAATTAAAAAGTATTCATGAATGGCTGAAGGGATAAACAAAATGTGGTCTATTTACACAAATAGTTGATTATTCAGCCTCCATTCTGATACACGTTACAATATGGAGACATTATACTAAGTGAAAATGAAAGCCATTATGTGAAGTGAAAGAAGCCGGACACAAAAGGACAAATATTGTATGATTCTACTTATATGAATTACCTAGAAGAGTCAAGTGCATAGGGACAGAAAGCAGAACAGAGGCTACCAGGGGCTGGGAAGAGGGGAGGAGGGAAGTGGTTAACAGGTAGAGAGTTTCAGTTTGGGAAGATGAAAACGTTCGGGAGATGGACAATGGCTGTACAACAGTGTGAAAGTACTTAACATGTCACTGAACTATATACAATGGACTGGCCAAATAATTCGTTCGGGATTTTCATCGCAACTCACGGAAAAACCCGAACGAACTTTTTGGCCAACCCAATACTTAAAAATGGTTAAAATGGTCATTTTTATGTTATGTATATTTCACTACAATACTAACAAAGTAAAAGTCTGTGTCCTTCTCCCACATCCACAGAGAAGAATTGATAAAGTCAAGCTACAAACGGGTGTAAATATCAACCAAAGGAAAAGTCTGGCTGACTTAATGACACTGTGAAAAAAATTTCATAAAATATGCATTAGCATCCATCGTTAAGGAAAAACTCACAACTAAATTAGAAATTTAAGAAGTACTGTAAAGATGATTATGTGTGTGTGTGTGTGTGTGTGTGTATACTCTTTCTGTGAACAGGGCAAATTCCTTAATTGCTAGAAAATATAATAGGCCCTATTTCTAAAAAAACCAAATTTTATTTAAGCTCATCACTAGCGCTAACCAACTGAAAACTACGCTAATTGGGAAAACTCACAGCTGTTGTTGAATCTCGGCTCAAGGTCCTCGATGATGGCTCTCTTCTTCTGCAGCTCATTATTGGCCTCATGCAGCTTCTCTCTGTAACAAAAGATGTTAACACTCTTACCTACTACTGTTTTGCATTTTTTCACTTGAAATGAAAGATATAAATTCTTTCTTTATGGGATACACTAGCATAGCACACAAGTGCTATGAAACAAAGATGAAAAAACTAATCCAACATAAACGTATTTTCTAAATGACTAAAAAATAGAGACAAAAATCTCAGAGTTTGAAATAGTAGTCATTCTTTTATATAAACCTGCACAAGAGGTTAGAAATAACTTAATGATCTTTATTGTTTCTAGGAATAAGAATATCGTAAACATTAAATTTAAAACTTTGCTGAGGTTTTATAATGCAAAACTCTTGCAAAAAAATTGAAGCTCCTAAAATAAGAATAGAAAGAACAGTACACGCCAATAAAAAAGAATAAATTAATGGTACATGCACCCACGTGGAGAGATATCATAGAATAATGTTGAATAAAGTCAGACACAAAAGGATAATACTATATGATTTTTTTTATATGAAGTTCAGAAAGTGGCAAAACTAACAAAGGGTGATAAGAGATCAGCAGTGGCTAGTCTGGGGATGTAATCAATTAATTAAAAGAGAGAACAAAGAATCCTGGGGTGTTGCTGGAAACATGCTATTGATCTGGGCTACCTGCCTATGTAGGAAAACACTCATCAAGCTGTAGACCTAGGAACTCAGGATTTGTATACTTTATTGTAAGGTATATTCCAATATAAAAGTAAAAGAATGAATGAACAGAAGTTTTTTCCTAGTATTTACATAACGTGTAATTCTCTATACTATTTAGTGCGGCACTCTGTAATACGAGAGGGAAAAAAGGCTGCAAAAATTGGAAAATACAGAAAAACACGAAGAAAAAATAGAGTACTTTGTTATATCTATTTCTGGTCTTTTCTATGCATAATACTTTAATAAATCTTTGTTGAGGGTATATACACACACACACACACACACACACATGCAGACATATGTTACACAAAATAAATATATACAGTTTAAATAAGAAAAACTAAGCCCAGTGAAGAAAAAGGTTAAGAAATAAAAATTATCCCAGAACCTTAAAAATGCCATGTGTTCCTATCTCTTTCCCAGTGGTAACCAAAATCAAGAATTTTAACCATTCTCATGATTTTTGTGATGGGCCTCTGTGTATATTCCTGAACACTACACATTGCTTAATTTTGCCCTATTTTTACTTTACACATTAATTATACTGTATGTACTGTTCTGTGACCTCCATTTTTTACTTAACATGCTGTTCTTGAGATTCATTTATGTTCATGTGTTAGCCCTGGTTTATACCTTTTTATTGCTGTACAGTGTTCTATTGTTTGAATATATCCCAATCTATTTATCATTTTACAGCTGGTGATATTTGTATTGTTTCTGCTTTTCTGTGATTAAAAACAATGTTCTTTCTTGTTAAACACACAACTTGTGAGGAAAGAAGTGTGTCCAGACATTACCCAGTGCTCTTGAGCTCCTATGTTGTTTCTACTTCTGGCCATGAAGGTATGGATAACTGTTACTGGACTTGCTCTCCTGCTAATAACAAGTAGGAAGCTGGGCAAACTATGTAAAACAACTGTTTCAGAAGGTGGACAGTAAGCAGTACAAGATTCTGATCCTCAGAGAAAGAAAACCAGAGTGGGAACCCCTATGATCTCTCTGGCTTTCTGTCTGCAGTCAGGAGGAGATCACAGGAAGGGTGTGCCCATCCCCCTGAGCTGAGGACAAAGAGGTTAGAACGTGGGGAGGCAGACGCGGCTAGAATTTTTGGAGCACAGAGTAAGAGATGAAAGAGCTATGTAAGAAAAGATCACCATAAATTGGCATATGGGTGCGCTTAAGTGTTTGGATTAATACTAAATTGCATGTTTCTAGGAATGGACACCACGAGGTTTGTCAAGGGACAACTACAGAAGGATGAAAAATTACTGGGGCTCTGAGAGGGAAAAATCCCAAAAGTCCACACATTTGAGTTCCAACTAGTCAGAGTTGTGTTCTCACTGAAACTGAGACATTTGGTAGGGACCTCGAAGTACAGAGCTTTTCAACTGGGGACAATTTTGCCCTCTTGGGGCTGTCTAGAGATAATTTTGATTGTCACAACTTAGGAGGGTGTTACTGGCTTCTAGTGGGGAGAGGAAAGAGATACTGCTGAATATCCTACAATGCACACAACCACCGCCTACAACAACAACAAAAAGTCATCAGAGGGAAATGAATAATAACTAAATAAACTACCTTATAGTCACTTTTTAAAAATAAATGTTTGAAACTGACAAAAAAAACCCCAAAACCCCAATGTTCTTTCACACTTTCTTCTAAATGTCTCCTGGTAAACATGGACCACAGCATCTCTGGGAATCTAGGGTATACATAGAAACGTAGAATCAATGGGTCACAGAATATATGCATGTTGCAGTTTACTGAATAAACTGATGTATATCCCTACCAGCAGTGGATGAGAGTTACCAGCACTCAACATCTCTGGCAATACTTAGTATGTCTGATTCTTAAATTCTACCAATTTGTTGTGTGTAAAATAGTCTTGTTGTAGTGTTAAATCTGCACGGTCACTCATCTTTTGAGATGTCTGTGGGCTCTGTGGTAGGCTGAACTGTGTCTCTGAAAAAGATATGGTGAGGCCCTAAACCCCAGAACCTGTGAATGTGACACTATCTGGAAATAAGGTCTTTGCAGATGTACTTAGTTAAGATGAGGTCATACTGGATCAGGGTGGGCCCTAATCCAATTACTGGTGTCCTTATAAGAAGGCCACGTGAAGATGGAGAGAGAGGTTGCATCTATACACCAAGGAATACCGAGGGTTGCTGGCAGCCACCAGAAGCTAGTAGAGGGGTACATGGAACAGATTCTCCATTAGAACTTCTAGAAAGAACCAATCCTGCTGATACCCTGATTTCAGACTTCTAGCCTCAAGAACTGTTAGAGAATAAATTTCTGTTGTTTTTAGCCTTGCAGTTTGTGGTAATTTGTTATGGCAACCACAGGAAACTAATACAGGCCTCATCTTCACTAATAAATTCTTTTTGATGAAGATTTTTACCATGTAAATGAACACAGAACAATGGTCAGACAGTAGTTTTATGAAACCACAGGTATTCTATTATCTGCAATTAAGGGATGGGAAATGAAAAAAGGACAGAATTCAACACTAAATTCTCACTGCAGGTAACCTCACAGTGGCTGGAAGGTGACAGGTGCTGTTCTAGTATTTTAAGAACCTGCCCAGTGATAGACTTGCCCTAGGAGCGTCTCACTTTCCCATATAAGAAAGGAAAGAAAGAAAGAAAGAAAGGAGGAAAGAGAAAGAAAGAAATTAGGATAGCACGCAGCAAACTGCCAGACTATGGCCACTATGGTACCCAGGATGACTGTTTACCACAGTCTAACCCTGTAACGCTCCACCAGGCTGGCAATCCATGGGCACCCACACTCAATGTCTGCAAGGACAGAGTTTTGCCAGAAAGTGATAGGAAGGGTTACAGCAGTTACTGGGTGCAAGAAAAATTACAAAACACTCCTAACATTGTCAACCTCAGATATGGAAGAAGGTTTCTTCTTCATGAGACAACAACTGTAATATTTAAAAATTTAATCTTTTAGATCAAAAAGTCATGTTCAGGTATGTTTGCAATTCAAGGAAATGTTTGAAAAGCTGCTACTGATAAGCTTAATAATACTTTAAAACATTTACATAAAAAGGAAGCTTCAGCTGGCCAGACTCTAGAGCTGGAAAATTCAGCCCGCGGCCCGTTCCTGCATAGAAAGCTTGGTTGGGACAGTCACAGCTCTGGTTTACATACTGTCTGTGGCCGCTCTCGAACCTCAGAGCTAAGTGGTTGTGACACAGACCACTGTCTGCAAAGCCTAAAGCAACTACTCTCTCTCTGTTCCTTATAGAAAACATTTCTGACTGCTGATCCAGAGGGTCCCACACTCCTAACTGGGATCATTAAATACTATCGTGAAGACATAAAACCCTGGAATCTCACTTGAGAAAACAGTTCTAACACAGTAATTGTTTTGATTTGAGGACCTGGGGTGAAGATGACCCTTTAGATACTATTAATGTCTCCTATAATCTTCTATACCTTCAGGGCCACCCATGCCACTGCCTAGATACTCTGTAACCACCAACACAAAACACTGATGTTTCACTGGACAATGTAACAATGAGCCTCAATAGCTTTTATACTTACAGATGTTCTTCAAGCTTCTTTTTTAGAAGAACTGACTGAAAATGGAAAATAAAAAAATAGTTTATTACTTAACATTTTAACTAATAAGCTAATTTTAAAAAATTAAGAATATAGTAGTAAATAACTGAGTGAGCCCTCAGTAAGTTCTCTGGTCAAAGAGCTGAAAATACACAATGTACCCAAGTTTATTTCTCTTTGATCAGGGAGACAGCAGCCTATAAGTGATAAAAACGATCAGTATAAAATACCCATAAACTGTATGTCTGAATTCTCTATTTATAGTCAGGGAAATGAATAAAAAAGCCACTTATGTACAGACCTAATATTCCTGGATGCAATAGGCAAGTAGAACTCTAATAATAATAGACGGTCCCTAAGACACTTTTTATCTGCTATATTTTCCTTGCATCATGGGATCAACTTCCGTAAACACTTACTGAATTAATCAGAAGTTTCTGATATGCACAGGTTGCAAATAGTTTATGTGACAGGATAGGAACGTGAAAGATGGGATATGCACAGCATTTAATATGCTGGAGAATGCAGCTTTGACTGGGTATTTAAAAAAAGAGTCTCCTGAGAAGCAGGAGATCAGAACTGACCTAAAATAAACAAAGAATAATGGCATTCCATACAGGACCACCAGGTTTCATAATTAAACTCAACGCTTGTAGGGTACACATTACTAATGAATTCTGTGAAACAGTTCACGTTGAGATAAATAGTTACATAATTAATTCAGCCAAACCCAAATAATACAGACTTAGGAAACAAACTGTCCCATCAGTCAAGAGCAGCACGGAGGGGAACATACCCGTCACACCGGGCTCTTCCATTTTCAGTCCCCTGACTTGATAGTGATTACTGTCATCGCTTATTCGAGCCCATTCTGACACAGCTCTGGAATATTCAAACGCACTTTTTTGCTGAGTATGTCAACTACAGCTAGGTTAGTGGACCACAATGTCCTCTACCACTGCTTCCCCCAAACATAGAGAAAGATGATAACCCTGTTGACTTTTTATTTTTTAATAAATTTATTTATTTATTTTTGGCTGCATTGGGTCTTTGTTGCTGCATGCAGGCTTCTCAATGCAGTGGTTTCTCTTGTTGCGGAGCAGGGGCTCTAGGTGTGTGGGCTTCAGTAGCTGTGGCTCGTGGGCTCTAGAGCGCAGGCTCAGTAGCTGTGGCGCACGGGCTTAGTTGCTCCGCGGCCTGTGGGATCTTCCCGGACCAGGGCTTGAACCCGTGTCCCCTGCATTGGCAGGCGGACTCTCAACCACTGTGCCACCAGGGAAGTCTCAACCCTGTTGAATTCTGATTACTGCTCGTTCCTTCTCCAGTACAGAGGGTAAGATGAAAATACTTTAAAAAACACCTTAACTTTGATTGTGCATTTCTGTCTTGATTAGGCTCTAAGCAAAATTAATTTTTAAATCTGAGATAATATATAATAAAATGATTATGTAATGAGCAGTTAATATGCCAGGCACTCACTCAAGTTTATCATGTGCACTGTCTCATGTCAACCTCACAACCGTGAGTGATACCAGCCCCATCTCATGGCTGAGGGAGGTGAGGCTGGGGAGACATTCAGGGGCTTTCCAGAGGCAGATCCCAAATTAAAACCCAGGCCTGCCAGACCCCGGAGTCTGTGCACAGTCTTCACCTCCAGTGAAGCCTCTCCAGTGGAAGACTGTTACTCATAAAATGTGGCATCAGGAGGCCAGACTGTGACAGCAAGCTAGCTTCAAAATACTTGATAGAAACAAACTAGTTTTAACAATGGGGGTAGGAGCGGGATGGGAAAAAAAAGGAGCAGAGTTCCTTTTAGCCTGACCGGTTAGGTTTTTGATATCCTTTAAGTATCTTAATTGTAAAGGGCATAAACCTATAAGTAACATTGGTATATTCCTTTTGCATAAAACTCCTGTTAATTTAAAATTTCAACCACATCAACTATGATGGCAGATAATGTATAACTCAAAAAAACTCTTCAATATATAGAAATGAATAGGAAGCCATACTTACAATAGCCTTGAGCAGAAACCATGCCAAGAGACAGAGAGGACATATTAGTATGAAGCAAACACAGCAGCCAATAGAAGGAACGATTTAGTAATTCATGAACAGAAGTAAAAGACACGCATTTTTTTTTCAAAAATGTACATTTTTCTTTCTTCTATGGTCTCCTCATCCTGTCTTGTTCTCTGGAGTTTTATACACTGTGGCTAGCTCAAATTATCCATATGCCTGGATATAACAATGCTTTTCTGCTTCCATGCTAAAAATAAATGACATAAAAATAATAATAAAAATGTGCAAATCACGCTACTCTGACTTAAGGTCACATGAAAGGACTGTGCTTTTGATAACAGAAATGGGCAGAAATTACGTTGTTCTTTAGAGAGGATCAATTCCATTTGGCAGGCTGCTCTGTGCATTACATATTCCTGAGAAGCAACACTGTAGGTTGGGTGAAAAGAGAGGCGACAACAACATTGAACACCTGCCGTGGGAAGAACCACACGTCATGGGTCACACTTTTCTCCACATTATGCTGAGCCCGCCTTCAGAATGAGGCAAGTTTCTATCTGAATCTTTACAGAGAAAACAGCTCTGAGAGAATTTTCAAGAATTTAGAGCAACACATCTCAGCATCTGAGCAGTCAAATAAATTGACTAATTTATGCAAATAGCACTTTTAGGCCTGGGAACTCATTTCTGAAATATGGCCTCTTAGAGCAATGACACACAGCATATTTAATTATATTTGATAGCCACAGTGATATCTAATCAGGTTATGTAAAAAAATGTTTTACAGAATAAATACCTTTCTGTATGTTTAAATATAAGTAAGAACAGCAAGTATAATGGTTATTAGAGTCTAACACTAAGGTTGAGTGGATACTGATGTTTCGCCATTTTTACTTCCTAGGATCTGCACACCCTTCCCCTCTCTACCATAACAAATCAACAGAAAGTCTCCTCAAAGTTTTCGAGACCAAAACGAAGTCTACATTTACCTCAGTTTAAGGGATCTAGTGATTTCACTGAACTAAGAAATGTTACCCGCTTTGGTTCACTGCTAAGACCCTCTTAGTTTTACTAGTATTTTCATACACGAAAGGTGGTTTTGCTTGTGATTTAGCATTCTGGATAAAGGCATGCTTGAAAGTAAACCATGGTATTTCAAACTAGTTCCATTTTAATAAGGGGATGATGTGGTTTAAATGTTGGTGAGAATTTTAGGAACTGGGAATCAATGTGGGGATCTAAGAAGAACTACCACCACATCAGAGGATAAATTACAGCCCATCATCTCAGAGAGCACGCTGCCAACATAAGCCAGATGGGTGCATAAGAAACTCATAAAATTAGGTCACCAGTGAGCTTTTTATACCTCACACTCTCAGGTTTTAAGTAATATGCTGTTTTGTTTTTACACCCTCTTACGTTACTAAGGCTGGACGGAACTAGATGTGTCTACAGTTTTGACGCTGAGTGCCCCAAATGACTCTAACAATGAAAACAACCAAATAGGTTTATACTCAAAAGCCAGAGTTACTCTGGCAAAAGGAAAAAAGTTATCAACTGACTGAAGCAAAGATTAAACTTCAGTTGTTATCCCCTCTTCACGCTGGTTTTGAGCCCTTTTACAGGAGCAGCTCTAGTGTATACAGCTCATTAAATGTAAGGGATTTGCAAAACATGATTGATTTACGCCTGCATCAGAGCCTGACTACTATGAGCTGCCCCAGCTCACTGTGTGGGGCGGTGAGCATGGCGAGGTGGGAAGGACCCTGTTCCCGCTTCGGCACACTTAACTCTTTTCTAGGTGAGTGCCCGCCAAGCAGGCAGGGCTAGGGCAGAGGGGCAGAGTGCTAAGGGAATATTAAAATAGGGCAGTGAGGTTATATTTGAGAGAGAGAGAGAGAGAGAGAGCGTGCGCACAAGCGGGGGCAGGGGAGTGTGTGTGTGTGTGTGTGTGTGTGTGTGTGTGTGTGTGACAATGTGCGTGTGAGTGTGTGTGTGTATCTGTGTGGCGGGAGGGGCAGGGGGAGAAAGCGGGATTCATAAACCTAGAGATGGTAGCATTTTAGAAATGGCATTATTTTCTTTTTTTTTTTGCGGTACGCGGGCCTCTCACTGTTGTGGGCTCTCCCGTTGCAGAGCACAGGCTCTGGACGCGCAGGCTCAGTGGCCATGGCTCACAGGCCCAGCCGCTCCGCAGCATGTGGGATCTTCCCGGACTGGGGCACGAACCTGTGTCCCCTGCATCGGCAGGCAGACTCTCAACCACTGCGCCACCAGGGAAGCCCGGCATTATTTTCTTAAAATCAATTTTACAACAAACATTGCTACTTGAACATGCTAAGTTTCTATCAGCATTTTTTTTTTTTGTTTTTGACCAGAGGGAAAAACCTATACTCTGAATACTGAGGTGAGCACATGTAAAACATAAAACCCCAATTAATTCTTCAGCTGATAACTACAAGTGAACTTCTAATTCCCAGCAGGATGAATCTGAAAGAGACAATAAAGTACTGTCTGGTCCTTTTTATAAGGAATGTTAGTAAAAGGAAAACACTGTTTCTTTTCTATAACCACTATAATTACAATTATTTTGATACAGACCATCAAATAAAAGTTATAGCTTTTCTTAACATTATGAAACTGTTGGACCATCACTGGTACATATTAAGACTTACATCTTCTGCCTTTGAGCCTTGATCCTGTAAAGATTTTTGCAATTCTTCAACTTGTGACTGTACTTCTAGAAGTCTTTGATTCACCAGCCTAGAAATCAAAGGTACATTAATTTTCCAAGTTCTGACTAAACTTATGCCTTTTGCCTTAGGTTTTCACATTGGTTCGAGAAACAGTATAATGAGAAAAACAAAGTCTCATGTTATAGTCGTAGTAGCTCACTTTTCTGGTTGTTTTTTGTATTGCTTAAAATGTCTACAATGATATCCAATGCAGTGTTTTGGTGGACACATTTTGTTGAGCTGGTATATTTATACACATATATTTATCTGAAATTCACTTCACTATAGGTTTGTTCAAACTGAGTGTCAGGCACCACACTCAGCATAGTGCTAGCAGACCCTTGCACTCGAATTTAGTGGGGAGACAAAATGTAAAGAAATAAAATACGAGCTAAACACTTCAACACAGCACACAGAGGTACACACAGGAGTGACGGCTGCTCAGAGAAGCTAGGACTGCACCTAACCGCGTGGAGGAGTTGGGCTTCACTTGAATGGAGACCAGACAGTAAATAAAACGCTTATGTGGTTAAGGGTGGAAAGGGGATTCAAGACCGAGAATTCAGCATGTCCAAAGCACACAGAAAGGGAGCGGGTACGAAGAGTTCAGGAACTGTATGGCTGAAGACCAAGTTATGAGGCGAAGGAAGGCTGGAGATGAAACCAGAGGAGAAAAGGAGAGGCTGGGACACCCCTCTGAGAAATGCAAATGTATTTTTATTTATCCTATAATCGGGCCTAAAATTTTGTTGGGATGGGAATAGCCCAGCCAGCCTTTAAAAATGCTGATTCTGGAGCTCAATCCCCATAAATTCTCTAGATCATTAGGATGCAACATTCAGGGGACCAGTAGGTCTTGGACGATGTGGAAGGATCAGACAGTGTTTCAGAAAGATCATGCTGGTGTGAAAGTGGAGGAGACCGTCTGGGAAGCCCCACCGGGGCTGGCACAGTGATCACGCCTCCCCCTAAAACAGAAGGGGGCAGAGGCGGGGTGCACGGAAAATGCAAAGGAATACAAGGAGCAAAAGTAACTTAGGAGTCCGGTCTGAGCTACCAAGGACCATTTACTGAGAAAGGGAATACAGGAGGAGCAGGCTGAGAAAGAGGAACAAAGGACTTCATTTGGTATTTGTCGAAAATGAAGTGATGAGAGATGCCTGTCGAACAGCTGGACACCTGCACCTGAAGCCCAGCGGGAGGGCTAAGCCGACCCTCCAGACCCAAGAGCCGTTCGGCAATGACTGAAGCCACGAGCATGAGTAACAGTGGCCAGAAAGAACGTGAACCAGCTCGGAGGAGGAACAAGAGGGGCCACGGCAGACCACCAAGCAAAGGGCTGAAAGAGGAGCCTCGCCCTGGACAGCAATCCAAGGACTGGGAGAGACACAAGCGAGGGCTGTTCCTGAAACTGAGAACACGTCTGCGGAAGGGGAAACGATCCACAATGAAAACAGTAAAGAGGCGAGGAGAGATAAAGTCCTAACTGCTCCCACTGGACTGGCTAGTGAGTACTTGAGTAAAAGCCAGATTGCTCCCAATTAAGGACAAAACAGGGCAATGAATATTTAGAATCCAAATAGCCAAGAAGTTCAGTAAGAAATTTTTTTTACTCAACAAGTGACAAGAAATTCTTACTGTAAACCTCTAGGTTCTATAATTTAGTGAGAATCACAGTAAAAAGGCAATAAATCTATAATAATAACTGATGTTTTTCACACAAAGGAATCTGTTTTTTCACTCAGTGAAAGAATTATCTGAAAACTCATATTCAATATGGAACAGAGGTACATAAGTACGTTGCTGACTGTAACTTTGTTTAATCTTCTCAGGAAGCAATATGAAATATATATCAAACTATAAGGCTATTTCAACTATCCATCTTAGACATTTTTGAAATTAATCAGTCAAAAAATATTGTTACTAGGTGGAGGCCATCATAAATGTCATAAAACATAGTCTAACATATCGATTAAAGCATGGAGCATACATGTACACACACATGTATGAACCTATAAAAATATATCTAAATATATACGAAAAAATTTCAACTACAAAATAAATGAGGATTATAATGCTGACCTCATGGGGTTGTTTAGAAAACTAAGTAAGATAATATATAAAGGGTGTGCACATAGCAGGTACTCTATAAATGCCTCTACTTTCTTTCTCCCCCTTCAAGGGTTTATTTAGTTAATCAACATTTTAATCCAAGTCTAATTACATATAGTTGTCAAGGGGGTGTAGGGAGAGGGTGAGCTTGAGATCACAACCTACTCTGAGAGGGAAGGGAAGGAGATCACACGTGCTTCCAGAGAGCTCCCCAAGCCGTTCCAGTACGGCTCCACTCTCGACCCTTCATGCCTCTCCTTACATTGCTTGAGGGTCAACAGGTGTTACAGATTTTAACAAATACCAACTTGTTGGGAAAACTAACTGGAAAGGACTTTGGAGGTTTACTACAAACCTCTCCTTCTAAGGTGACATATGGTGGTGAGCAAATAGTATTTAAGGTCGTACAGTTATGAGACTAAGTAGAACTGAAACTCTGCTTTCTTGGTGCTAACCCAGTGCTGTCAAAGAGTAAGAGGTTAAGGTACAGACCAGGTAATGTAAACACTTACTAAACTCAGTAAGAACAAACTTATGATAACTCACTTAAGAGTAAAGCATCCTGTGAGGAGAAGACAGGGAAAAAAACGTTTTATAAATGTGGCAGAAGATAAACTGGCAAGAAAGAGGTTAAGTAGAGGCTTTGGAGTCTGGTAGCCTGGGTCTCAGCCCAAATTCCTACATGTGTAAAACTTTAATAAAGTAAGACCACATGTTTAAAACACTTAGCACAATGTTTGGAACAATGCTGGAACATGTTTGGAACAGCAGTTTAATAAATGTTAGCTGCTCGTATTACTAGTATTACTGTTACAGATCATAATACCCACAGATGGCTATAATCTAAAGGTAAGTTATCATCAGTGTTGTAATTTAATAAACAAACACAGCTGTGAATAACAGGGATTTAGGAGGTAACCAGTCATCTACATGCACGAGTCCTCTACGAATGACAGCTAGCTGTTCTATTTTGAAGGAGAAAGAGTAATAGCTGTAATGTCTGTGACAAACAAGGCGAAGTGTTACAGAAAACGTTGTAGGTGTTGATTCACTGATAAGAAATTAGTGTTGGGAGAAGGCTCTCCCCACTAAGATGCTAAAAGACAGTGGAGGCCACGGATGAAGGGGGTAACTCAAGGTGCCCTCACCATGGGCTCTGCATGACTGCCTGCTGTTTTCTACAATTCCCATTCCTCCTCCTTCTCTTTTTCCACTTTTTCTAAGTATTTTAAAAAAGTATTCATTATCTATGCTCCTAAGAAATGATATAAAAATGTCTCCTTACGTTTATGCTTAATTATGCTCTAATAATCACCCTGGTATTTACAGTGTGCTGATTCTCCCTCAGCAGCTTTAAAAATTAAAGTTACAGGAAGAAGGGTAGGATATGTAAAACTATCATAACAATTTTGACTCTCAAGACTGACTCACACCTGGGAAATGCCCAATCAATCAGGCAGAATAAGCAAAGAATCTATAATATCACATAAACTGTGAAACTATTTATAAAATTGTCAAATCCCTCACAAATGACAGAATATCACAGCTCTAAGAAAAAGAAAAGACATCATATGTCTGGTATTTAAGAAACATTTCCAAAAAGGAAAAGAATGAGAGGACTGTCACAATAAAACATAAAAGTAGCCCTTGCCAGCGCAAGCTACTGGTTTAAAAGTAGTTTGGACAAACTGCCTCCTGCAACACTCTTAAAACTTACGAGCAGAAAAGTGATGTTCTGTTAAATTTGCAGATTCTAAATTCTCAAAATAATTGAATTGTTCATAAAATGGATGACTTCCTATCAGAGTCACAAGAAATAACAGATTAAAAAAAAAAAAGCCCTATCAATTGAATCATGACGGATCCTACTGTTTTCCTCATACCAGTCAATTCTTTGAAACATTAGCTTGTAAAAACAGGGTAAACTCTACTAATATAAGCATGACTATGAAGTAAAATTGTCTCGAAAGACTGTGAATAAATCGTGACTTTTTTTAATCCTCTAGTTTTAATTAGTGATTAAAAAGGGAAAATGGTAGGACTTTGGTATCATTTTGCCAGAAGAGAAGAGCTAAAGACGGGAATGCTATTACAGAGAGACTATACTTTTGGGCAAATTTGCCCGTAAGTGGAAAAGTGGAAAAAAGTACTCTTGAAATGAAATGGAATAACACACTTTCACTTTTCAAACCACAACTCAAACTTTTGTTTAAGGGAATCAAAATCAAGGTAAATAGAGAAAACCGGTGTCTAAGCTGCTGCCACGTGCCTCCTACCTGTTCTCTGTCTCCAGTTCATTCTTGCGTAGGCTGGCATCATCTAGAAGGCTCTGCAATAAGGCGATTTTTTCATTGTCTGAACCCTCTTGGTTAATTTTTAACATCTTATTCTCATGCTGAAGACGAATAAGTTTCTCCCTGAGAGCAGAAGAAAAACAGATTAACGTAGTTATCAAAATCCAGCTATGCACTGTTATAGATTTAATACATAGAACAGAAATGAAAAACAAAGTACCTGGAAAAAATTTAGCTCCTGTTGTAACTGGCTGAGACATTACATTTCAGGTCTTAAGCACTTTCTTTTTAGAATGGACAATCTGAAGATAACAGAATCCCCGTACAGCATGACTTGTAATGAATGAGGTTTCAAAATCCTATTTCCTTTCTGATTTAAGCATTTAAGCTGTGAATGATTTAAGCACTTAAGCTGTGAATGCACCTATGGTATTTGTTCTTTGGTTCTCATCAACAAAACATCATCTCTAATGCTATGCTCTTACATTACCCATAATTTGGTGGCAAGATGTAACATTCGACGAAGAATGCCTTCAAGACATACAGTCCATCCATTCCTGTAGATACGGTAAACCTGTAGTCTTGTAACAAGACAGATTATCAGAGCCAGGTTACTGGACTGCATTGTTTTGGGCTCTTTGCGTGATGCCAAATGCTTACACTGAGGGATGCTAAAAGCAACAGCCACACAAAAATTGCCACTGTGAATACTGCAGGGATGATATAATTGAACATTAATTCACATGACGATATCATTGAAGATATACGTCTTGAAGATAGAATTCGTCCTTTATGTTAGAGAGGGTCATCTCTAGAGGGCCGCATGAAGAAGATATTACTATCCATACCAGATGCTATGAAAAACTGTGCTTCTCATAGAAAAAGAAAAAACAAAAGCGAAATATCAAACACAAAAAAAACATTCTGCTCTTATTTTGTAAACACTGTAAACCTTATAAAGTACTTTAACTTTTTCTATTGAAAAGATGAGAGTCAAATCTGTAACCCAACTCAAGCAGTTACACAGAACTTGATATATTTTGTAAATTGAAAAAAATGACTTCATCATATTTGTCAATTACAAAGTAAAACAAGCTCACTGTAGGGTGAAAAAAAGATAAATGAGAAGAAAATACAAACCCTCCATAACCCTGCAGTGCAAAATAATTACTGTTGAAATACAGCCTTCTAACTTTATGCATACGTACAAACATGCAAACACTTGTAAAAATGAATCTCACAGTACCTGTTACACTGGTATCTGCTATTTACACTTAACTTTTCACAATCTTTTCATAGCATTAAATTTTATACTTTAATATTTTAAATGACATGTTAAAGTATATAGACGATCATTATTTAATCCATGCCTAATTATTGGACATTTAGATTATTACCAATTTTGAACTTTAACATGTTATTAATGATTAGCTTTATAAATATCCTTTTGTGTATATCCTTGGGTGTTTCCTCAGAATTAATTCTCAGACAAGTAATTTTTCTGTCAAAAGATAGGCACATTTTTTAGACAACATACACATTCTGCCAAACTGCTCAAAAGAAAAGTTGTACAACCACAAGAAAAAAAATTTTTTGGTAATTATGTGTGGTGATGTATATTAACTAGACTTAATACGGTAATCATTTCACAACATACACACATAGCAAATCATTATGTTGTATACCTAAAGTTGTTACACAGTTATATGTCAATTATATCTCACTTGAAAAAGATTGTATCACTTTAATCTTTTACTCCTAGTTTATGAGGTTTCCAATTTCTCCACACCCTTAACAAAAGTGAAAATCATCACTTTTAACAGAATTTTGCAGACTGGAAGAGCAAATTTCATTATGCATCAAGAATACTGACCCATTGTCTATGATATACATTGAGAAATTTCATCCTTTGTACTATTTCATTTTCTTGATAGCTCTTCTAGACATATTCTAGACACAGAGAATTTTTTTTTTTTTTTTTTTTTGCGGTACGCGGGCCTCTCATTGTTGTGGCCTCTCCCGTTGCGGAGCACAGGCTCCGGATGCGCAGGCTCAGTGGCCATGGCTCGTGGGCCCAGCCGCTCCACGGCATGTGGGATCTTCCCGGACCGGGGCACGAACCCGTGTCCCCTGCATCGGCAGGCGGACTCTCAACCACTGCGCCACCAGGGAAGCCCCACAGAGAATATTTTAATTTGTATTGAGTAATACTCAATAAAAACCATTTTATTTGTTGAATTTTTATCATTGTTCTTTTGTCTCAGAACTTAAAAATCTAACTGCATTACCTATAAGCTTCCTTAAAATTTGTTTTTTGGACATAACCATTTATTTATAAATATTCATAAAAATAAGTGTATTTATTCATTCAACAAACTTTATTGGTCCAATAATAAAGTACCATGTCAGATGGCAGAAAAGTAAAAGGTATACAAGATGCTTCCAGAATTGGTGTTCCATTATACGCCTTTTGTCTGTCCTTCTTAAACAAATGCCAACAACAAAAACCTTTGTCTTCATTTATTCAATAAGTATTTCAATGCCTATTGCAACTTTCACAGTTTATAAAACTTTTACACAACCATTATTTTAGTTAATACCGCCAACGATGTTATGAAGGATCAAGGCTAGTGTCAATTTAAAAAGGAGGCAAATTAGCCCGAACAAGGTAAAAGCAATATTCAGGATTACTCATTCACCTTCTGATGGACAGCTGGTGCCTCCCTATCAATTTTTCATTCTTAAACATAAAGCCAGGCATATATTGAAATAAATGGAATATTTAAAATGCTATGACTAAATACAAATGTAAGGTACTACTGAGAGAAGAGTAGTAGAGATGAGGAGATGCTTCCTCCTGTCTGTACATTCTGTCTTTCCCAGACCATTCCCTGTACTGGAGTAATAAATCTTAGAGACTAATTTTTTTTTTTTTTCTGTATGCGGGCCTCTCACTGTTGTGGCTCCGGATGCACAGGCCCAGCGGCCATGGCTCACGGGCCCAGCCGCTCCACGGCATGTGGGATCCTCCCGGACCAGGGCACGAACCCGTGTCCCCTGCATCGGCAGGCGGACTCTCAACCACTGCGCCACCAGGGAAGCCCGGGACTAATTATTTTGCAGACTGATGGCTAAGCATAAACTTTGTCTTTGGGCCACGTGGTTTCACTGCTAAATGTCTGCTGAGGATGCCCAAGCACAGATATATTAGTTTACTGAGTATATGTGAGACACTGTCCTCCCAAAGAGAGAAATCAAGTCTCTGTGGGGACAGCTGAAGAAAGCCCCTAGCATCCTAAATCATGGACATCTAACCTCGAGTTCGTGTTGAAAGTGTTAGCGATAAAGAAAAGGAACTGGTCCTCTATACTACAGAGTAGTACGTTTTCTCCAAGAATATTGTGCAGTGTGGCTGTGACCTTCACCATCTCCTTACCTGATTTCAGGTGTGACGATCTCTGCTGCCAGACTATCTGAAGATTCCTGACTTCCCAGAGGCATTAACCCTGTAAACAAACAATCATGGGTGCAAGGTTAAGAGAGGGCACAGCTACCTCCTTTAGTTCCTATATGAACTCCTACTTTGAGCATTAATTTTAACAGCTAAAATCTTTAATTCAAGTAAAAAAACCATGTCACACTTGCCTTACATGATTGCCTTACAACATTATTATTATATCATTTTAACACTTTTTAAGGGTACAACTGAGTGGCACTAAGTCCCATGTTGGCGCTAAGGCACTATGTTGTGGAACCATCACTACTATCTATTCCCAAACTCCTTCATCACTCAAAACGTAAATTCTGGAACCATTAAGCAGTAACTCCCCATTACTTTCTCCCTCAGCTCCTCGTAACTTTAATCCCAACTTCTGTCTGTCTAAATGAACTTGCCCGTTCTAGACGCCTCACACCAGTATTTGTCCTTTTGTGTCTGGCTCACTTCACCTAACATAATGTTTTCAATATCCATCTATGTTGCACCATTTATCACAACTTCATCTCTCTATATGGCCAAATAATATCCCATTATACATACATATCACATTTTCTTTATCCATGTATCTGTCTATGGACACATGGGTTGTTCCCACCTTTTGGCTATTGTGAATAATGCTGCTATGAACATTGGTATACCAGGATGTGGTTGAGTCCTTGCTTTGATTCTTTTGTATATACACTTAGGAATGGAATTTCTGGATCATATGGTAACTTTTTAAAGAACCACCAAACTCTTCCGCAGTGGCTGACCCATTTTACGTTCCCACCAGCAAGGCAGGAGGGCTCCGACTTCTCCACACCCTCACCAACACTTGTCACTTTCCTTTCTTTCTTCTTTTTTGATAGTAGCCATCCTAATGGGTGTGAAGTGGTATCTCATTGTGGTTTTGCTTTGCATTTCTCTAATGACTAATGATGTTGAGCACTGTTTCATGTGCTTACTGGACATTTGTATCTCTTCTTTGGAGAAATGTCTCTTCAAGTCCTTTGCTTGTCTGTGAACTGCAAAGGACTTTTGCAGTTTCTTTTTGTTGTTGAATTGTAGAAGTTCTTTATACACTCTTGACATCAATCATCTATCAGATAAATGATTTGCAGATATTTTCTCCCATCTTGTGGGTTGCCTTTTCACTACGTTGATAAGTGTTCTTTGAAACACGAAAGTTTTTAATTTTGTTGAAGTCCAATTTACCCATTATTTTTGTTGCCTGTGCTTTTGGTATCAATTCCAAGGAATCACTGCCAAATCCAACATCATGATGATTTTCCTCTATGTTTTTCTAAAATTTTATAGCTTTAGCTCTTACATTTAGGTCTCTGATCCATTTTGAGTTCCTTTTTTGTATATGGTGTAAGGGTCCAACTTCATGCTTTTGGATGTGGACATACAGTTTTCCCAGCACAATCTGTTTGAAAGACTTTCCTTTCCCCCACTAAGTGGTCTTGACACTCTCGTTGAAAATCAGTTTACTGCATATGTAAGGGTTTATTTCTAGGCTCTCTATTCTACTCCATTGGTCTATATATCTGTCCTTATACCTACACATACTGTTTTGACTACGCTAACTTTATACTAAGTTTTGAAATCAGGAAGTATGAGTGCTCAAGCTATTTTTTTTTTTTCTTTTTCAAGATTGTTTTGGCTATTCGGGATCCCTTGAGATTCCATATAAATTTTAGTCTGGGTTTTTCTATTTCTGCAAAAAATGCTGTTGGTATTTTGATAAGGACTGCACTGAATCTGTACGGTTTTTTTAATATAAATTTATTTATGTTATTTATTTTTGGCTGCGTTGGGTCTTCATTGCCGCACTCAGGCTTTCTCTAGTTGCAGTGAGCGGGGGTTATTCTTGGTTACGGTGCGCGGGCTTCTCATTTCGGTGGCTTTTCTTGTTGCAGAGCATGGGCTCTAGACGCACAGGCTTCAGTAGTTGTGGCTCACAGGCTCTAGAGCACAGGCTCAGTAGTTGTGGCTCACGGGCTTACTTGCTCCGCGGAACATGGGATCTTCCCAGACCAGGGCTCGAACCCGTGTCCCCTGCATTGGCAGGCGGATTCTTAACCACTGTGCCACCAGGGAAGCCGCCTGTAGATTGTTTTTGGTAGTACTGTCATCTTAACAATATTAAGCCTTAAATGAACATGCGATATCTTCCCATTTAGGTTTTCTTTAATTTCTTTCAGCAGTGCTTTGTAGTTTTCAAGGTACAAGTATCTCCCTGGTTAGATTTATTCCCAAGTATTTTATTCTTTTTAATCCTATTGTAAATGGAATTGTTTTCTTAATTTACTTTTCATATTGTTCATTGTTAGTGTATAGAAACGTAACTCATTTTTGTGGGTTGATTTTAGATCCTGTAAATTTGCTGAATTCATTTTATTAGTTCTCAGAGCTTTTTGTGTGTGTGTGTGTGTGTGTGTGTGTGTGTGTAATTTTTAAAGGGTTTCAACATATAAGATCACGTCAGCTGCAAACAGAGATGATTTTAGTACTTCCTTTCCAATTTAGATTTTTTTTTCTTTGTCTAATTGCTCTGGCTAGAAGATCCTATACCACATTGAACAGAAGTATAGAAGTGCTGGTCGCAGGCATCATTGTCTTATTCCTGATCTTAGAGGAAAAGCTTTCGGTCTTTCACCACTGTGTATGAAGTTAGCTGTGGGTTTTTCATATGGCCTTTATCAAGTTGTATAAGTTTCCTTTCTAGTTCTCCTCCTAGTTTATTGAGTTTTTTATGATGAAAGGGTGTTGGATTTTGTCAGTTGCCTTTTCTGCATCAGTTGAGATGATCATGTGGGTTTTTTCCCCTTCATTCTATTAATGTGGTATATACTACACTGATCTCTATGTCTTTCCATATGTGAGTTTCATGCTGTTCAATTACAGTAGTTTTATAGTAACTTTTGAAATCAGAATGTGTAAGTTCTCCAACTTTTTATTTTTTAAGATTATTGTTTTGGTTATATAGTGGCTCCTTCGTTTTTTTTATATAAATTGTAGAATCAGCTTGTCAATTTCTACAAAAAAGTCTGCTGAGAATTTGAATGGGATTGCATTGAATCTTTAGACCAATATGAAGAGAACTGTAGTCTTAACTACAGTGCTTTTTCCAACATCTGAATGTGGAATGTCTTTACATTTATTTAGATCTTTAATTTATCTTAGTAATGATTCATAGTTTTCAGTGTAGAAATCTTGCATTTCTTTGTTAAACCTATCTCTAAGCAGTTTATTCTTTATCATACTATTATAATTTCATTTTCAGATTGTATACTAGTACTACATAGAAATATAATTGGTATTTGTATACTGATCTTGTATATTGAGACCTTGCTGAACTCATTTATCAGATCTATGATTTTTTACATCCTCTTTTCCTTTCTGGATGCCCTTTATTTCTTTTTCTTGCCTGACTGCACTGGCTAGAACCTCCATGTTGAATAGAAGTGGCAAGACTGAACAGCCTTGCCTTGTTCCTGATCTTAGGGAAAAGCATTTAGTCTTTCATCATTAAGTATGAGGTCAGCTGTAGGGTTTTCATAGACGTCCTTTACTAGGCTGTAGAAGTTTCCTTCTATTCCTAGATTGCTAAGAGTGTTTATCATGACATTTACAAAACAGAAACAGACTCACAGACTTAGAGAACGAACTTATGGTTAACAAAGGGGAGAGTGGGGGGCGGTGATAAATTAGGAGTTTGGGATTGGCAGATGCAAGCTACTGTGTATAAAACAGATAAACAACAAGGTCCTGCTGTATAGCACAGGGAAGTACATTCAATACCTTGTAATAAACCATAATGGAAAAGAATACAAAAGAGAATGTACATAAATGTATAAATGAATCACTTTGCTGTCCACCAGAAACTAACACAACATTGTAAATTAACCATACTTCAATTAAAAAAATTTTTTGAAAAAAGAATGTTTATCATGAATGGTACCACCTACTTTTTCAACTTAATGATATAACATACCCAGCCCTCCACGGCAGGCATATATAAGATATACTTCGTTCTTTTTAATGGCTCTAAAGTATACAGTTGAATGAGAATGCCATTCCTGTACTGCTGAACTTTTATGTTGGTTCTAAATTTCACTATTATAAATGATGTTTTAGTTCATAGGGTAAATTTTCAGAGCAAAAATGCTAGCTCAAGGATATATACATGAGGGACTCCCCTGGTGGCACAGTGGTTAAGACTCTGTGCTCCCAATGCAGGGGGCCCGGGTTTGATCCCTGGCCAAGGAACTAGATCCCACATGCATGCCACAACTAAGAGTTTGCATGCCACAATTAAGGAGCCTGCCTGCTGCCACTAAGACCTCGTGTAACCAAATAAATAAATATTAAAAGAAAAAAAGGATATATACATGAATAAGGTTTAAAGGTAATAAAGAAACATGTGAAAGCTTACATAAGATGGCCTCCCTTTTCTTGATGATACAGGACCTAAGAATTAAAGCATTAAGGTTCAAGGCTAGATTCTCAAAATTTTGGGAAAACTCATGTAGAATTGACTAGAGATACATGAAAGGACTACCAAGCAGCAACAAGGATCCAATTATGATCAGAAATAATTTGTCTTTTGGTGAGGACAGTCAAGAAAGATGTATAATTTTCTCAAAAGCAAAAATAAACAAGTGGAACTACCTCAAACTAAAAAGCTTCTGCACAGCACAGGAAACCATGAAAAGGCAACTTACCAAATGGAAGAAAATATCTGCAAGTCAGTTATCTGATCAGGGGTTAATATCCAAAATATATAAAGAACTCATATATCTCAACAGCAAAAAAACCCAAACAATCCAATTAAAAATGGGCAAAGGATCTGAATAGACATTTTCCCAAAGAAGACATACAAATAGCCAACAGGTACATAAAAAAGGCTCAATATCACTAATCACCAGGGAAATACAAATCAAAACCACAATGAGCTATCACCTCACACTTGTTAGAACAGCTATTATTAAAGAGACCAGAAATAACAAGTGTTGGTGAGTATGTGGAGAAAAGGGAGCCCTTGCGCCCAGCTGATGAGAACGTAAATCGGTGCAGCCGCTATGGAGAAGAGAGCTGGGGTGTGGGGGTGGGCTAAATGGGTGAAGGGGGTCAAAAGGTCCGAACTTCCAGGTATACAATAAGTAAGTCACGTGGATGTAATGTATAGCATGGCGTACATAATAATACAGTATTGTATATTTGAAAGTCACTAAGAGAGTAGATCTTAAAAGTTATCACAAGAAAAAAATGTTTTTCAACTATGTATGGGGACAGATGTTAGCTAACTAGACTTACTATAGTGACCATTTTGCAATACATACAAATATCGAATCATATTGTACATGTGAAACTAAGAGTATAATATTATATGTCAATTATACCTCAGTAAACAAAAAAGAAAAGGAAAAAACCAGAAAGATACATAATTTTTTTTAGCTGGCCTTGGTAATCTGGAGTACAGAATAAAACTAATTAGGGCTTGAAATAAGTCAAGAGGATAAGGAAAGACAGTGGTGATGAGAACACAGTTGAAATGGCTGGTATGCAGGCTGGGTGAGCTGGAAAAGGTGGTGATCAGTAGACGATCAGCAGAGACTACAGAGGGGGCTGAAGGTGGATGGAGCAGATGAGCAGGTTTGGTAGAAGGAGTGAGGAGGGGAAAAGGAGGCTTTTGTTGGAGTGGGAGTGAACAGAGGGTGAAGCTCTGTAAGTCAGCAACCAGGTCCTGCATCCCTCGAGTGGTAGAAGGTAAACCCTCAGCTAAGTGCTGCTCCTTTCCTGTGAGAAGGAGAAGGTTTCTACTTTGGATGTTAAGTCCCTTAGTGAATTGATACCCACCTCACATCTCAGCCGAGAAAAATCACTGATGTATAAAGTCTGATACACTTCTAAAGAGGTCACTAAAAACTTTTCAGGTGTATTATTAACAGAGATGATTTAACAAATGTTTATGCTTTTGATTTCATAAAACCCAAACATTTAAATTTAATTAAAATTAAAAAGTAGGCAAGTAAATCCAGTCCCGTAACTACAGTCATAAAATCTGGGCAACAGTTCAAAATCTGTATCAATCTCATGGCCTCTTTACCAAATTCAAGTTCTCGTCTTTGGCGCAATCATCTTAAAATGAATCTAATATTTTTCCTGATACTATCAGAAATAAGTAACCTTGCTTGGGCTACTGAAATGTTGTTACCTTGAGTTGTGAGTTGCCCTTCTTGAGCCTGAACACAACGAAGCTCTTCGATGGTTTCCTTCAGAGAATCCCTTTCTGTTCTTAACCTCTGGAGGGACATTAAGAATGAGGAAAGTTAGCTTCAAGCTTTACGAGTTTACTCATCAGTGGTCTTTGCCTTACCTAATAGAATGATAAACAGTGGTGAACATGGACATGTTACACTTTTTGACCTTCTACAGAAAGATCACAGAAGGAAACGATTACACGATTTTTTTCCCGTTTAACAATATTGAGTATCTACTACGTGCAAGGCAGGATCCTATCAGTTAATCATAAGAAACAAAACCACCTACTCCATCTTTAACAATGAGTACCTCATTATGTAAATAACTTTCTTTTCATGAAACATAAAAGATCAAACAACACAAGTCATGACAAAGTAAAAGTATTTTAAAAAGCTTCAAAATATGCTGAAATATTCATAAATCATGTATATTCATAAATCACGACAAAGTAAAAATATTTTAAAAAGCTTCAAAATATCCTGAACAACAAAAAGAATTGTGTCTTCATATAGAAAACAGAAAAGCTACATAAATTTCTAGAAATTCACAAGTAAGACAAAGGAAAAGAAGCAACAGTGGTAGAAAAGTTAAATATATTAAAAAGAAATTAGAATAGCAATCTTTTATTTTAGATCTATTTCTGAAACACAAATGTAAATCTTTTATAATTAAAAAAAAGATCTCAAATTTTCAAATTTATAAATAGAAGCAGAAATTAATGTAGGCAAAACATGAATTAAATATCATTTTCTTAACCTCAGCACTGCTCAAAAACAAAATACCTAATATATATACTCACATCCTTTTCTTTTTGAAGACTGTCAACTTTTTCTTTTAGCCGCTTATATTCAAAATCTAATTTATCTGCTTTCTTCGATTCTTCAGATAATCTATTTTGCAGTTCTACTACCTGTATAGAAAGGTACCATTAATTTTTATAATTTGAAACATTAGAAATTATTATTATTTTCTTCTACAGATCTATGAAAAGTCTCTCCCCCAAAAATACTCAAAAAAATACACATGATACGGGAGCCTAACCCAATGGAGAGAACCCGGTACAAAAATCTGCCCAGATTCTATGGGTTCTAAAACCAGATCATCCAGAGGAACAAATGTTCAAAACTATGAAAACCTACAGGACTTCCACTTCCTGTAACACAGGAAACTGCAGTCTGGGAACCCTTTTAGCATGAAGCAAAAGAAATGCTAGGGGAAAAGAATACAACTGCCTCGCTAGGCTTATAACAAAGTAAGGGAAATCCTCAGGGGTTAAAAGTGGAGCAGGAAGTTTGTGAGGATGCTATGGGCAGTGTGAGATGCCACCTGGCAATACCAGGAACCCAGGCCTTTAAAACTATCGGGAGACAGGCTGCTGTTAAACTACCTCGGACTCTAATAAAAGGTGGTGAGTCAGTAAACAGGTAGGTTAGGAAAACAAAATCCATCAGCTGGCAAAATCAATAAGGAAACTTGCCCATCTTAAAGTGAGTGTTCTGGGCTTTAAAAAGTGTAACTTGAAAATGTGTAACCACAGCCTGCAAATGCATGGATTTATGCTTGAATTTTTACCACATGCCTTGTCTGGCAAATCCTAAGGCAAGCAATTAATTTAAAGTCGTCCTGATTGGTAATGCTGTGGAAAATCTGGCATAAGAAAAACATACATTGTCTGGAGGAACACAACCTCAACCAGGTCCCCAGTATTCCCAAAGGTAAAGATGAGCCAAATGACAGAGCAAAATCTAAAATTACAAAAGTCTTAAAGAAATAATACACTATGAACAACAGTCAGCAGAAAAACATTAACAGCACTAACAACAATAAAATAGTAGAATAAGACCTCTAAGGATTTCAAATTGGAGTTACCAGACATAAAATACTAGGTTTAATACTTTTAAATAAAGAAATCTAAATTATAAAAGGAATAAAAGACCACCAATATGATCAAGCAGGTTTGAAAGAGCACCCAAAGAGAAACTGCAGAAAGAAAAATATTATACTGAAAAATAAAATATATTAAGCTCCAGATCAGAAACAGATAGAGAATTAGTGTATTACACTACAATAATTGTAAGTGCAGATTTCTTTTTTATTTATTCTGTTTGTAATTCACTGTTAATACTAAATCTGATGTCCTTCATCAATTCTGAAAAATATTCAGCCATTCTTTCCTTCAAATAATGTCCTACAATTCTTTCCATTCTTTCCTCTGGAACTCTAATTAAATCATTTCTTATTTTAATTTTATACCCTTTAACCACATTTATATTTCTTTGGGCTACATTTATTTTTGGTAATTTCTCAGTCCAACTTTGTTATATGTTGAAAATTTTCATAATGAAATGTTGGGAAAAAATGTATTCACCAAAAAAAACTTGCCAGACATTCATGGTGTACAGGGTTGCTCTACTAAAACTTCTCTAATTTATTATATTAAGCTAGTACAATTTTTTTTTTTTTTTTTTTTTTTTGCAGTACGCAGGCCTCTCACTGTTGTGGCCTCTCCCATTGCGAAGCACAGGCTCTGGACGCGCAGGCTCAGCGGCCACGGCTCACGGGCCTAGCCGCTCTGCGGCATGTGGGCTCTTCCCGGACCAGGGCACGAACCCATGTCCCCTGCATCGGCAGGTGGACTCTCAACCACTGCGCCACCAGGGAAGCCCGTAAGCTAGTACAATTTTGATGCCAAAATCAGAAGACAAGGAAAGCACGAGATAGAAAACTTTAAGTAGACAAATCATAGAGGCAAAATATTCCAAGTAAAATGAACAAAGCAAATTTAACTATGTGAAACCACAAATAAATCTGCTATGACTAAACTAAGTTTATCTCAGGAATGCAAGGATGGTTTAAACATAGAAATCCATTCATATAATTCATCAGATTAATAGAAAGAATAAGCAGCATAGGAGTCTCTCAATAGGTGTAGCTGATTAAATTCAACAACCATTTAAGATAAACACCTGTGCAAATTAGGAATACAATGAAATTTTGTTATCCTAATGAAAGGTGGCTACAAAACCTATAGCAATCCTTACAATACACTGGTAAAACATTTAAAGCACTGTGTGTGAAATCAACAAGAATTGGCTGCCTATTATTATTGCTTCTATTAAAGGCTGTACTAAAGGTCAGCCATGTTGATTAAGAAGAAAAAAAGGGTATGCCATAGAAAGAAACAAAATGGCTTTTATTTGTACAAAATATGACTTCTGCCAAAAGAACTAATAGACATTATTAGAAATAATATGGGAATTTGGCAAGATTGTAAAATCAACATATAAAAACCAATTTAATCACATAAATGAGCAACATATTGAAAATGGTATCTTTTCTTTTTCTAACTGCATTTACAAAAGCAACCAAATACATAAAGTACTAAGAGTAACTATAATATGTGCATGATATTTATAAGAAAATTATAAAACTTAATTGAAAGACACTGAAGATCTAAATAAATGGAAAGATACTATATTCATTGATAGGAACATTTACTGTCATAAAGATGTCAATTCTCCCTAAACTGATCACCAGATTCAATGTAATTCCAATTTCCAAAGATTTGGAGTTTAAAGGGAACGGAAAGGTCCAAGAATAGACAAACAATTTTGAAAAAGAACAGGGTGCGGGTATCTGTACTACCCAAATATCAAAATTACTAAAGATCTATAGATGATGAGAGTGTTTTGGTGTTAGAGTAGACAAACAGACCAATGAAACAGAAGAGATCGCCATAAACAAACCCACATATAACATGGTAACTTTAGATATATGATAAGATAGAATTGTAGGGCACTGCAGAAGAGACTGATTATTAAATAAAAGCTGCTAGGTTGACTGGTTGTCCACAAAGACGAAAAATATCAAATGGATCCCTACCTCACACCCTATATGAAAATCAATTTCTTGTGGATTAAAGACCTAAATGTACAAAACAAACTTTAAACCTCTGTAAAGAAAACAGAGATTAGTGTTACATCTTTATATAGGAAATGACTTCTTAACTGAGACATAAAAAGCACAAATCATACACCTGAAACTAACAAAACACTGTAAATCAACTATACTCCAATAAAATTTTTTTATAAAAAGCACAAATCATAAAGAAAAAGGTATTTAAAGTTCATCATGTTAAAATTATCAATCTCAATAAAAGTAAAAGGACAGGTCACAGACTGCTAGGAAATAAAGGCAACATGTGACAAAAGATTAATACCAGGAACAAATAAAGAACTTTTAGAATCAATAAAAGAAATAATCCAACTTTAAAAATGAATAAAAGATAAAAATAGGCAGTTCACAAAAGAAATGTGATCAGTAAATATATTTGCAATTAGGGTAACGCAAAGTATAATCATAAGGAGACATCATTTCAAATCCATCCTTCAACTGGCAAAATTTCAAGTCTGATAATACTATGTGTTGGTGATGATGTGGAGCAACAAGAATTCATACAAGCTGCCTGCTGGTAATAAAATCACAGTGGAGGACATTTGGCAATATCTAATTAAATGAAGACTCTCTAAGGAAGATATTCCACATAGTTGTAAAACTTCCACACATGTATCGAAGAGGACATGTTCAGTACTATTCACAGTGGCCTTTCTTGCAATATTAAAGAAAAAGACAAAACATCCTATATGTCCTTCTCCAGAAAAATGGATAAATGTGGTATTGTCACTCAACAGGATACTACAGATTGGTACAAGTGAATGGGATAAAGCTACAACTATCAACAAAACAAATCTCACAAATACCACTGAGCAAAAGCAAATCGCAGAAGAGAACTTTCACTATATCATTATATAAAGTTTTGAAATGTCAAAAGTGTTATAAGTTTTTAGGGATACACACACACATATATGTATGTGTGTGTGTATGTACAGGGAAGAATAAAGAGATGCGTAGGCACAAAACCCACAAAATAGGCTAGTGGTTACTGCAATGAGGAGGGGGAGAGTGTTTTGTTTATTAAGCATGGATACTTATTGTATTATTTTTTTACTTTTGTGTATTTCTCAAGTATTACATAATAAATTAAAAATAATAAATAATAAAAGGATCTGCTATAGAGACCAACCAATAAGCCCTGGATAAGAACTAAGTTTCATAGGTGAAAAACCGAATACCATGAAAACAAGTCAGTGGACTCTGATAAGCCAGCGTTACACTGGAGAGCTCAGCTGGAAACGGCGTTAAGAAATTGTGCTGCTCTCCTTACCTGTCTCTTATACGTCTCGAGTTGACTTCGAGCCGCGTTGGCTTTTCTCAGCTCCTCCTCTAGGCTAACTGTGTTCTGCATATACATAGTATTCTTCTCTTCTAAGAGTTTAACCTGACGCCTCAAATCACCAAGATCTTCTAGCTTCTTTTTATATGATTCCACTTGGCCTTCTAGTTTAGACACTTTATCAGAAGAATGTCTAGAATGAGATGGGAAACCAGAAATCACACACACATCCGCAATGGTAAAGCTGCTGTAGGCAGTGCTACACCAAGTGGATTGCCAGGAAGTAACATGTTCTAATGAAATTATAAGACCAAAGGTGAGTCCAGCTTAGTTTTTTGTGCAGGTTCAAAAGTATGACCAAAATTACAGCAAAATTTATAATAGACAACATTATAAAATTTAAGGAATGCAAGTAGGAGGGGGTAGCCAACAGAGTCACATGTAGCACAAAAGCAAAATGAATTGTACACTGTCCAAATAATTTGGCAATTAGGCTGTTATTAGTGACCAGAGGAACAGCTGTTTTGGTGGAGCAGTGGGGCAGGCAGTGGTGAATTTTAGTGGGTTAAGGAAAGAATGTAAACTTTACCTTGTGTAATCTAAATTTGTTCTGGAGGGAAGGAGAGAATAATAGGTCTCTCACTTTTTCTAAGATAAGAGGGACAGAAACATATAAATGTATGCTAAGGAGGCAGATTCAAATGTGAAGGGAAATGATAACTGATGTAGCACAGTCCCTGCAGAAGCAAGAAGGGTTGAGACCCAGAGCATTGAAGGATAGCACTGGACAGGAGGACGAGTAACAGGTCTGCACTCTAGAAGCAAAAGAGAAAAGATGGGCGCGAATGCAGGAGACACAGCACATGGAGGGTCCATAGGTCATGGCCCCGCTCCTCAATGCAGGAGACAATGTCATCTACTGAGACTGAAGCACAGGAGAGGTGTGGTGGGGTCAGTCAGGTGAGAAGAGTTATGAAAATACATAGCAGCTATGAGAGAAACGGGAGACAGAGCAATCTACGGATGAGCAGTAGAACAGTGGACCAGTGCTGGGAGCCCACACAGATGGGCAGTAGAATGGTGGACCAGTGGGAGGAGCCCACACGGATGGGCAGTAGAGCGGTGGACCAGTGGGAGGGGTCCATACGGATGGGCAGTAGAGTGGTGGACCAGTGGGAGGGGCCCACACAGATGGGCAGTAGAGTGGTGGACCAGTGGGAGGAGCCCACACAGATGGGCAGTAGAGCGGTGGACCAGTGGGAGGGGACCAGTGGAGAGTAAGATCACTAGTCTGCAGTAGGACAAAACTACCTCACTGTGATTTTCCCTGTTTGTTCTCAGCATTCAAAGAGCAAACGCATAAAACATAGATGGTTGGAATGATCCAACAGAGGATAGATTACACAAGCAGAATGGTGCAGAAACGAGGTGGCAGGGAGTGAGGTGCCCAGTGAGAGAACAGTTGAGTCCAGCAAGGAAATGAGCCATGTGTGTGGGTGTGACGGTATCCGAGAAAGAGGAAGACCAAGTGACTGAAGGACGCAAAATTAAAGAACAGGAGTAGTAATGAGAAAAGCTCAGAGCTACGCAAGTATGAAGTGGTGGCCAGAGGTTAATTTCTATTTAACAAACATTTATATACAGCACTTATTTGCCAGATACTGTTCCAAGTGCTTACAAATATCACCTCACTTAACTCCACATGTCAGTCTGAGGTAGGTATGTGTGTTATTTCCATCTTACAGATGAGAAAATGGTTCCATAGAGGTTGACTAAACGGCAGCACTGGGATCTGAACCCATCTTCCGGTGCTCAAAGACCCTAGAGTTTGTAAAATCGGTGGCAGAACTGTTCTGGGGGATCACAGGTGTGAGATTCTACAAAGATGGGAAGGTTGTCTACCTAAGAACGTCTATTTCATCTTTTAGAGACTGAGCGTCATCTGCCAAAGTGGTCAGTTCATCGTTCTGCTGCCGAAGTTCAGACATCTCCTTTTGTAACTCTTCACAGCGTATTCGATAGTCATCTTTGGCTGCTTCAAGTCTGTAACCGAAACAAAATAGACCAAGAAAGCACTATTTACTGTCTAATAATTCTCCTTAGAACAGGAAAAGTAAGTAAAAAACATGAAAATAAATTCTTCTTGGATTTGTCTCCTACTTTTGTGACCATACACTGTATTTCCAAGTTTTAACTATCCTGGAAACGGATTCTACTGCTCCAAGACTTGGAGAAAGGTAACAACGGATCGCCATTCCTCTACTCAGAAAGTTAGACGCCAAAATATAGCAGCTATAATTTATTTAAAGTTTTATTTTCAATGATGAAATTAACACATATTCCTTTTGAAAATTCACAAGATGCAGAAAAGCAAAGAAGATAAAAATTATGCATTGCTCTAGACAGATACCTACTGTTAACATTTTTGGAGTATAACCTCCAGTCTGATTTCTATTCATAGATCTTTTCCCCAAAAAATATGGATAATATTGTTCCTAATTTATATTAATTTGTTTTGTTTAACATACATCCTTCCTTTGGATTTAAAAGATTCTTTCTCATGTCACAAATATTTATCATTGATTATTTACTTTTTTTTTTTGCGGTACGCGGGCCTCTCATTGTTGTGGCCTCTCCCGTTGCGGAGCACAGGCTCCGGACACGCAGGCTCAGCGGCCATGGCTCATGGGCCCAGCCGCTCCACGGCATGTGGGATCTTCCCGGACCGGGGCACGAACTTGTGTCCCCTGCATTGGCAGGCGGACTCTCAACCACTGCGCCCCCAGGGAAGCCCTATTTACTTTTAATTTTATTTATGTAAGTATTTAATGTACAGAAATTCTTAATTTTTATGTAATTCAATTGATGAATCTTACACTTCATAGTTTCTACTTCTTTTAATTTTTTTTAACTTTTTATTTTATGTTGGGGTATAGCCAGTTATCAATGTTGTGATGATTCCAGGTGCCGAGCAAATGACTCAGCCATACATATACAGGTATTCATTCTCCCCCAAACTGCCCTCTCATCCAGGCTGCTACACAACATTGAGCAGAGTTCCCTGTGCTCTAAAGTAGGTCCTTGTTGGTTATCCATTTTAAATGTGACAGTGTGTGTACATGTTGATCCAAATTCCCTAACTATCCCTTCCCCCCACCCTTTCCCCCTGGTAACCATAAGTTCTCTAAGTCTTTGAGTCTGTTTCTGGTTTGTAAATGAGTTCATTTGTATCATTTCTTTTTAGATTCCCCATATAAGTATAGTTTCTACTTCTAATGTGCAATTAGAACTTTTTTTTCCTTCTAATTCTTTGTTTTCTGTTAGTATTTATACAGTTTCATTTTTAACATTAACGTTTTCAATTTCCCTGGAATTCATTTGGGTATATGATGTAGTACAGAAATCTAACTTTTCCTGCCAAAATATCTACCAACCATTCCAAAACTGTTTAACAAATAATTTAACCTTTCCCTATTGATTAGAAAATGCCATCTTTATCACATTACATATTTTTATATATACTTGGACTGGTTTCTGGATCTTCATTTGTGTCATTGGTGTCTATTTTGCTGCACTGGTACCAAGCTATTTTCATTAGTATATTAGTACTTGGGTGTGGCCAGTATTCCCTCATTATACTTTGTTCTCAAAACATTTTGGGAATCTCTTGTTCATTAATACTTCTAGATGAACATAAAATTTGAATTGGAATCAAGTTCAAATTATATACGTTAAGAAAAAAATGGCATTCTTACAATGTTCCATTAAAAACACCTAAAAATATGTTCTCTCTCTCCACACAGTATTATGTTTTATGTATAACTTAGAAGTTTTTGTCATCTAACTCCTTCATATTACTTAAATTTTTTTTTTTTTTTTTTTTTTTTGCGGTACACGGGCCTCTCACTGTTGTGGCCTCTCCTGTTGCAGAGCACAGGCTCTGGATGCACAGGCTCAGCGGCCATGGCTCACGGACTTAGCCACTCCGTGGCATGTGGGATCTTCCCGGACCGGGGCACGAACCCATGTTCCCTGCATCGGCAGGCGGACTCTCAACCACTGTGCCACCAGGGAAGCCTGTACTTAATTTTTTTTTTAATTCTTCACTTAAATACTTATAAATGGAAGTTTTTCCTGATGATACTAACTAGTTATTGGTAAAAAAAAAAAAACTTATGACCTATGCAGCAGTCTTACATTACCCTCTCCCTGTTAAATGTTTATTGGTTCTAAGAACTTCTGAGTTAATTCTCTTATATTTTCTGGGTGGACACACATATTATCTACAAATAATCATCGTTTATTGATACTTTTTGTCTTCCCAATATTTTAATCTCATTTCTTTTTCTTATTTCATTTTCTAGAAAAGTAATAACAGCGAAATCTTATATAGCATCTATGTGCCAGGCAATATTCTCAAAATACTTTATATATATTAACTCGTTTAATGCTCACAAAAATTCTAGAAGGTAGATAATACTATTATACCATCTTATAGTAGAGAAAATGGAGGCATGCCCAAGGTTACACAGCTAGTAAGTGGCAAAGCCAGGATTTTTAGAATGTCTAGGAAAATGTCAAATAATAGATTAATACTCATCCTCATTTCATTCTTAACTTTACTGAGAATTTCATGTACCAAGCTTATTTTATATTTTTCTTTCTCCTTTACCTTATGGATTGGAGGAGTTATAATACATTTAATAGTTACTGTAATAGATTTAATAATACTCAACAGGTTAACAATCCTGGGATAAAGCTTACTTTAGTACTGGATTGAATTTGCTACTATTTTATTCAGGAATTATTTAAAGAATACTCATAAATGAGATGTCAGTCATTTGAAAATAATAGTAATAAACCCATTATGTTAATATATACAACATACTGTTTATGAAAAATAACCCTATTTTCTAAAACCAAAAAATGGTGAGGAGAGTGGCAATATTTTTTATATTCTGTGACTCAAATCATCTGGTTTAGTAGAAGACAGCTGGGTTCCCATAGGTGTTTCTACACTGGTCTGCTGTGATGGTTTTTTGGCTGCGGTATATGAAGGAGATCCAGCCAAGCACAGAAATGCAGTTGGAAAAGAGAGGGCCCTGAAGACTCTCTGAGAGGGTCTTCGGATCACACTCTGAACCACAGATGTAGACCATAGGGGATGGATTGTTTGTCTAAGGTTTCTGAGAAGACTAAGAAAATCTGTTTATTTTTTCCTGTCAAGGCCAAAAAAAAAAATGCAGAAACATTTCATGGGGAAACAAAGGACTGAGTCACTGCACAAGTAAAAAAAACCTAATTGATATTTAATTTCTCCCAGTTTTGACACTGAAAATCTATGGTTGGGTAAGAAACAGGCCAGGATATGTTTTCTAGTAAATCACAACACAATATTTTATCATACTGCCAAGTCCTTCAACTTTGGGTTCTATTTTGTCTTGCAGGACACCAAATTTTTCCTTTTCTTCTTTTCCCTTTCACCATCCAATCGCCAATGGGCCCTCTTCCTTCTTTTTGGCCTTTTCCTCTCCCAGAAGATGTGTCTGGAAGACTGCCCCTTTACATCAGATCGCCCTTTAAATAGGCTTGTCTCTATAACCCACGCACCTGGCTTTTATTTTGCGTTTCTTTAAACTGTGCTCTGGAAAGGGCAACAATCTCTAAATTCCGTGCCTGTTTATTATTTTGGCATTTGGTCCTTTAAGAAGATACACTTACTTTGAATTCCTATCCCTGCAGTTTGTGATCTAATTTCCTTTTTTGTTTTAAAGTAATTTCCGATTTTGAGTGAATTTAATCTTTGCAGCAACTGCTCCAACTCACCCTCAGGCCCCTTCGCTAGTCCTTCCTCTGTCTCTGAGTTTTTTCTCTGTCTGCCTTTACTTGCCTCAGAGTGCCTGGCAGGATGGAGGTGGGCTGGTATTTGCTTCCTTCCTTTCACTCACAGTTATTGTTCAGTTGGGGCATTCTGTCTGCAAGTCATACTGAGGGTGAGCATTCATAGATTTTCCTAAATGAGCAGTTATTTCATGTCGTGTGGGAAGACTTTTGGGAAGAGGCTAATTGCACGGCCTCCCTGGTCTGCAGTTACCCGAAAGTCCTAACACTATATTCTTAACTTTAAAAGACATTACCCTGTGCACCACAACAAAGAGTAGCCCCCGCTCGCCCCAACTAGAGAAAGCCTGCACGCAGCAACGAAGGCCCAACCCAGCCAAAAATAAATAAAATAAATTTATATATAAAAAAAAGACATTACCAAATCTAAAAAAATGAGATCTGAGTGAGTTGTCCCTTACCGGAATGTTTCTTCTTGGAGCTGTTCTAACTGAGTCTGGAGCTGCAGATGCCTTCTTCCTGCTGGACTATTAGGATCTTCTATAGAATCAGACTGATTCAGCCTTTCCATTAATACCTGATTCTCTGCCAACAGACTACTTTTCTCCTCTTGCAATGCTGCAACCTGTTAGAATATAGGAAGACAGTGGTTATTTTCTCCAATTACACTGGAATCCGCGTAATCACGTGTGAATTACCATTACGAATTAAAGCCTGATTTTAAAGAAGTACAAGCAACCTCCACTTAAAACACTGACACTATTTTGGAATATTACACAGGCAGAGCAGTATGTAAGAGTAAGCAAGAATTCATTCTTTATTTTACATTTGAAAAGGTAATTCACCAAAGAAGATATGTAATGGCAACTAAGCACACAAAAAGATACTCATGATTAGTCATTGAGGAAATGCAAATTGAAACCACAATGTTATATCCATACATTTACTCCCACTAGAATGCCGAAAATCAGAGAGACTGGCTGTACCAAGTGTTGGTAAAGATGAAAACAGATGGGAGCTTCACACACCTGTTCAGCACGTGAAATGTTCCACAGGCTGTGAGAAACCGGTTCGCATTTTCCTAAAAAATTAAACATGCAACTACCACATAACCCAGACATTTTACACTTAGGTATTTATTTACCAAAGAGAACTAAAAGCATATGTCCACACAGAGACGTAGAATGTTTATAGCAGCTTCATTTGTAATACAGAAAAACAAACGTTGACCAGTAGGTGAATGGATAAATAAATTGCAGCACATCCATACAACAGAATACTATCTGACAAACAAAAGAATTAACTATTAATACCGATAACATGAATGAATCTCAAAATAATGAAAGAAGCCAGGCAGAAAGAGAGTACCCTGTGTATGACTCCTTTCATATGCAATTCTAGAAGACACAAGCTAATCTACAGTGACAGAAAGCAGAGCCGGGACTGGAAGAGGATTACAGAGTCATGAGAACTCACTATCTTGATTGCGGTGATGGTTTCGCACGTTTATACATGTCAACATGCATCAGAACTGTACACTTCAAAGATGAGCAGTTTGTTGTATGTCAACTTCATCTCAAAAAACTGTAAAAACAGAAGTCGCCTGCCATTTCTGATTCTCCCTCTCCACCCCCATTTTCTCTGGAACTTGTTCCAATTGGGCTATTGCCCCACCATCCTCAGGATCAGCCGACCTTCACTTCTGTGGCTCCCAGGACACCTCCCTCTCCTGGTCTGTGTGCCTCCTCTTTACTCCAGTCAAGTCCTCTTCACCTCCCTGCCTCTGGCACACGCATGGCTTTTCCTTTCTAAATACATTGATGGCTTCCAGCTTCTGGGCTGTCAACATAATTTATCCACTGACAGCTCGCATGTTTCTATTTCCAGCCTGGAACCCCGCACTGGGTATGACGTCCAACTGGAGGTCCACCAGGCATCTGAATTTAACCTGTCCAGGTGGGACTCTCATTCCCCCACACCCCGCCCTGCTCTCCCACTGTCTTCCCCATCTCAGTGATGCTAACTCTGTCCTTCCACTTGCTCTGACAGGATCTGTCCCATCTTGTCCTCACACCCACGCCCACTCTTTCAGCAAACATCAGCGGCTCTGCCTTCAGACGGATTTCAACCACTTCTAACCGCCCCTCAATTCTGATTTAAGCCAACCTAATTTTTTGCCTGATTATTGCGAAGGTCTCTGAATTGGTCTCCTTGAGTTGGCCCTCACCACCCAGCAGCCACCATAATCCATTAAAATAAAACTCGGATCACAGGACGTCTTTGCTCACAGGCCTCCAACGGCTTCCCATTTATTTACTCAGCCTGTACCAAGGCCTGTCAGGCCTCTGCAGACGGACTCCTCTCCCCAGGCTTCACTCCTGCTGCCCTCACCTTCGTGCTCCCGGAGACACCAGCTGCCCCGCGTCAGGCCTGTGCGCTGAGCCTGGAGGAGCCTCGCAGGAAGCCTGGGAGGCCGCTTATCCACCCTCTAGGATTTACTAACTTGCTGCCTCCCCGGCGGCCTTTGCTGACAGCCCAGTCAGAACTAGTTCCTCCAACCCCGTGCCCCCGCCCCCCCGAGTCCCCCTTTCTCTAGAATACTTATCAGCAGCACACAACACGCCGTATTCTTATCCTGTTCACTGTCTGTCTTCTTTATCGCGTGCAAGCACCTTGGAGGCAGGGATGTTTTATCCATTTCTGTGTTTTCCCCTATCTTCACTGTACTGACAGCAGCTAGAACAGTGGATGGTCTGGAGTGGGTGTTCAATGTCTGCTGAATAAATGAATGAGTCTGAAATGCCAGCTCTCTAACTTGTCAGATTTCCATAAACGCACGAGTCTTTTCTCAGAGTAGAGTAGTAGCTCAGTTCCATGCCACTGGTCTATTTCATTCATTTCTGCTCTTTCATTCTTTTTAAAATAAATATTTAAGGCTTTAAAATTTAAAAGCTCATTTCTTTGTTAATAATTTCTATCTTAAATTGCACTTTGCTCAGAAAGCATGATCTAAAGACACAGATTCTTTGAATTTTATTGGGAATTGCTTTATAGCCTGGTATGTGGTCAATTTATATGAAGTCTGAGTACATAATGCAACACCTTAATACCAGACTCATCAGACTACAAAATGTTGCTAAAGTAATTTAATTCAATATATTTGGCAGAAATCCTTTTCACATACACAGAAAAAGGTGTCAGCTACAAATTGGTACTTGCCATCTGCCTCAACAAGGATTAAATCATGAGCTGCTGCAGCCGCTGACCTGTAACGCCCCCTGAAAGGAGTTCAGGAAGAGATCAGGAACGAGGCCCCCCGTGCTCTGGGAAAACTGGCAGAACAGGTCTTCAGATAGTTAGATATTTTCAGGAGAAGATTTTATGAGCCCAATTCTTGCATCTCCTCATATCTAGAAAAGCACTAAAATCATCAATGGTGACAACTGCTCCTCGTGACTGGCAGTCACCTTCTACCAGAACGTGTGCTTCACTGCACGCACCCTCTTCACCTAAATCACATACATGCTGACCTCCATCCCACCACTTTGGAGCAGTTCCTCAGAGCTGAGATGCTGTCTCCTGGGCTATTGTCCTCATTTTGCCCCAAAGAAACCTTAACTCACAACTCTCACGTTGTGCATTTTTTTTAGTCAACAAGGAGAATAATTAAAAATAATACATAAACACAATTTAAGGAAAAAAAAGCAAATAAAGCAAAGGGGCTTATAATGGAAAGCTACAGTTTCCCATTGAGTTTTTCTACTTCCAAGAGACAACTAGGTTTTTTTTGCGGTACGCGGGCCTCTCACTGCTGTGGCCCCTCCCGTTGCGGAGCACAGGCTCCGGACGCGCAGGCTCAGTGGCCATGGCTCACGGGCCCAGCCGCTCCGCGGCATGTGGGATCTTCCCGGACCGGGGCATGAACCCGTGTCCCCTGCATCGGCAGGCGGACTCTCAACCGCTGCGCCACCAGGGAAGCCTGACAACTAGTTTTAATGTTCCTGATGTTATGGTTTCGGCTGTGACTTGACATCTCTCAGCAACATGTTCTGCCCCTATTTCTTGATTTATCAACCTTACACATTCTCTAGTGACTTGTCTCCTCTGACATGTGAAATTAGAGCCACTTGCGGCATCCCCCGTTTCCACAAATAGTTATGGCACTATTCCTGCTCCTTTCACTTGGCCACCTCTGCAATTTTGAACAACTACTCATTGACTTGTTTCACTCCATCACGTGCCCACTCATTAGCTCACTCAGATACTCATCGTGGGTCTACCATGTGCTAGGCACTGCTGCAATTGTCCAGGTGCAAGGGATACCACGATGAAAAACGCAGAGACAGTTCTTATTCTCATGTGTTACATATTCTAAACAAATCATCATAGTAAATATATAAACAAGGACAAATCATATTAAGCAAGAAAGTAAACTAATAAATACATGCAAGACCTAGAGTGAAAGTGCTCTGCAGAGGGTTAAAGCAAGACTAAGAGGAGGGGCTTCCCTGGTGGCGCAGTGGTTGGGAATCCGCCTGCCAATGCAGGGTACACGGGTTCGAGCCCTGGTCTGGGAAGATCCCACATGCCGTGAAGCAACTAAGCCCGTGAGCCACAACTACTGAGCCTGCGCTCCGCAACGGAAGAGGCCGCAACAGTGAGAGGCCCGCGCACCACGATGAAGAGTGGCCCCCGCTCGCTGCAACTGGAGAAAGCCCTCACACAGAAATGAAGACCCAACACAGCTAAAAATAAATAAATAAATAAATTTATTTTTAAAAAAGACTAAGAGGAGAGGCTGGAGGACAACTGTAGGCTGGTGACCGAGGAACTTCCCAGGGAGGCTGAGGTTAGTACTGGGCACACCTAAGTGCCCAGTGAATATTTCATGACAGATAAACCACGTGATTTGGAGCTGAGACTGGATGGCGAGAAGCGGCCGGCCGTGTACTGCCGGTGCTCCCTCGTGGTGAGACGAGAACACGGAGGGCCCCACCGGGCCCTCACCGCCCTGCCTCGCCCTGCTTCTCCTGCTCACCTCCAGCACCCGCATCTTTACTTTCATAACACTGCTTCTCCACAGGCAGGGCTAGATGCTGAAGACCAGTGACGTTCACATCGCGACCTCAGAGGTCACATCAGCACGCCTGTGTTACGACTGCTTTCTGCAGGGCTGAGTGTGTCACGGCGCTGCCACCAATCTCCTCACAACCTCTCTGCAGCCCCGCCACTCGCTCTGCGATCTGTTCACACCAGGGACTGGTAAACTCTTCTGTAAGGAATAGGGCAGTGAACAGCTGAGCCTTTCAGAGCCACAGGTCTCGTGGCGAGTCCTCAACCCTGTCTTTGCAGCGTGAAAGCACCAGAGACAGCACATCAAGGAACAAGCCTGCCTGCTCTACCACTTTACTCACGAGACAGAGGGCCGGCTGCAGTCTGCCAATCCCAGTGTACGACTTGAATGTTACACCGTCAAAGAGACTATTTATATCCTGCTCATAAAACCAACCAACTCTTATTTATCATTATTGTAAAATACTGCATTTGTGTATAGCTGAATTTTAGAATCTGAAAAGCAATTAACAGCACTTAACCTTATGACTAGGTAAATATTATTTACTACATAACCCAGAAAGTGTGCTCTGATCACATTTCTTCCTATCTGCATCCAAAGCAATGACCAACTCTTACGCCTTTCAAGGTAAAATGCTTCTAGTATAAAATATCACGAACCCTGTGTACCTACTACACAGCTTTAACAAGTATCAAAACATGGACAATTATGCACCTATCTGGACTTCCATCCACTCCCCCCTCCTCCCTGATTTTGAGGTAAATCCCAGACAAACAATTCTATTTCTTAATTTTCTGTCTTTTAATTTAGGAGAGATTTCTTCAACTTTATTTTTAACTATTCTATTGAATTTTTTTATTTTGACAATTCTATTTTTAGTGTTTCTTGATCTCTGATTTTTTCTTTTTAAAATAGCATCTTGTCCTTTTTTTTTTTTTTTTTTTTTTTTTTTTTTGTGGTATAAGGGCCCCTCACCGCTGCGTCCTCTCCCGTTGCGGAGCACAGGCTCTGGACGTGCAGGCTCAGTGCCCCGGTCCGGGAGGATCCCACATGCCGTGGAGCGGCTGGGCCCGTGAGCCATGGCTGCTGAGTCTGCGCGTCCGGAGCCTGTACTCCGCAATGGGAGAGGCCACAACGGTGAGAGGCCCGCGTACCGCAAAAAAAAACCCAAAAACAAAATAAAAAGAAAAATCTCTTCTACTACCCCAATTTCTCCACTTCCTCTAGGGCTAGTTTCCTGTTTATCTTGACCCTTCTCTTTTTTGTTACGCAGATTTTCCTCACATGTAAGAATTGGTTTTCTGTAAATTAGGGAATCCAGGAAGGTCAAAATGAAAAGGGCCTTACCCTGCAATACTAATACTCGGTCTAACCTCCTGTACTTCTGTTTGCTTAACTTCTTTAGAAGAGAACCCTCCGATTGGGAAACCAGCCACAGGTCAGCGTATCTGCAGTGGGTGACGGGCAATGGGGCTGAGCTCTCCTGCAGAAGACCCCATTACACCTCGCTGCAGCCTTCCACCAAGCATGGGGGCGTCTCTGGGGTTCAGCTACAGCAGCTCCCTCCCCCTTTATAGGTGTTTTTGGCGCTGCATTCCTTACTCCTTTTAGGCCGTTTGGCCTTTATCCAACTGCCTTTTGGCCTTCTGAGGTGGATGATAAGCAGTGGTGCGCTGTTGCTGGCTATAACCGAGCCACTCGCTAAATATTCGGGAGTCCGGCGAGCCGACTGTTAAGCCTTTAACAACTGGAACTGGTCGCTGTGACAGTGTTTATACTGTGGAAATTGGAAAATGCTACAAATCAGGGCTTTAAAAAATCTCCCCCAGTCCTCCTGAGAGCTGACCTCTCTCCTCTTTCTCTTCTTTTCTTGTGGGCTTATCCCATTTTAAATTCATTTATTATGAATTTGATGGGGCTGTGAGAAGGAAGGAAAACTCTGACCTTTGTTCAGTCTGCACTCTTTTTCCAGGCTCTGTTTCCTTTTTCTTCTCAAACTAGGGCTGTGTTACAGCCAAACTGTACCGCACGTGGGACCCAGGGCACATGGTGGGACGCAGAGCCGTGCTGCAAACAGGTGGTGTAAAACCAGATCTCTTACCTGCAGATCCAACTCATGGCACCTTTGAGCAATTTCTTCCTTGGCCGACAAAGCTTCATTCAGTTCCTCTGAAGTTTTCTTCAGCTGGGTAGAAGCAAAGAGCTACAGTGAACATCGCAATATGACGTGGCAACAACTAATGATCGCACACGTACAATACAAAACTAAAACGCTTCCCCCTGTTCTTTCTGTGGGGCAGGGAGAAATCAAGAACCCTTCTGCACGAGTCAAAAGAAGGGTTTCTTCCAACTGCAGACATCTTTTAGTCCTGAGTCTTGTCTTTTCTGTACTTGGAAATTGGTTCTTTCCTCATATCAAGTTTTCTTATACATCTCCTAGGGCTACTTGGTTCTTGGTAATGTTGATTCTGTAATAACTAAGAAATCTCACCTTGGTAAAATATATATGTGCTAGAGGAACAGGGGTTCAATTGTTAAAATAAATAGCTAATGTATTTCAACACAATTGTTGTATGGTTTAAAAAATATTTATTCTCTCAGTACTTAGCAGTCAGGATATACGGCCAGAGAGACAGGCAGCTGGATTGGTCTTGGATTGAGATTTTGCCCGGGAGAAGGTATTAAGGTAAGAGAATCGATTATATTGACAAAATCATCACAATAATAGACCATGAAGTCTAGGCCAGAAAGAGAAGGTAACTAATTAAAGAGATGATGAACTGCTTAAGCTAAAGTATGAAGTGGGGAGATTTCCAAAAATAAGATGACGATATTGGCAGAAGAAAGAGGCTTTAGGCAGGCAGAACAGTAATGTTCACCGTAGAGTCAGCAAAGTGAGGAAGAACGAATGTAAGATGATGGGCTGTCAGTGAAAACCAGACAGTTCACTTCTTCACAAAGATGAAGGGTAGAGGAGACTTCTTCAATTGAAGAATAACATGAAATAAAAGGTAAGATATCTTTTGTATTATAAATAAATCACAGGATTAAATGCATGCCATTTTCCAGGACTGCATCTATTGTGTTAAACGTGGCATACAGAAAGATATCACTAATGGAAAAAGAAAACATGACTAGAAAACATGAATTATAGTAAATTAAAGACGTTAATTTATTTTAACCATTCATTAAAACATGAATTATAGTAAATTAAAGAGGTTAATTTATTTTAAAGTGGGTTGTACAATATGTTAATTAAAAATTACAAATTTAATTACAAGTGTGTAATATCCATTAGTAAAGTGGCTTACGTTCTTGAATTTTAGGTAAAAAATAAAGAACTATACCAATATATTTCATAAGCAATTTCAACTGAAACATCCTTTTCATTAATATCTAAAGTTCACCCTTTAATCTCTGCATGGATAAAAACAATGCAAGATCAGGTACCTGGCGATCAAGGTCAACATAGGCATCATTCCCAGCAGAGACAGGAGACTCTTTACTCATCAGCTGAAATTAAGATTTAAATGATTACAACCACGAGAAAAAAGTGACATTCTATATAATACACTTACAACAACAAACATGAACACCCAGCTGCCATAGAATTATAAAAATTACAATGAAATCACAAATGTAAAAGGAACATTTTCCTATACATCGAAGCTCTTCAGCCTGGAGCTTTGTTTTGCTGCAGGATTAGCCTTCACTTAAAATCACACGTGTAATTCTGGTATGCATTTTCACAGCAGGGCCAGTCACGAGAGTCAAGTATTACTTATTCTTACCACTAAAAAGACAAGTCTTTAAGTTAAAATGTGGCTAAATATTTAAAATATTGACTTTTCAGTAAGAAAAATAGTAACACTAAGTAACTATTTCTGAAGAATAAACGTGGGTCACATCAATATCAGCCCAAATTAACCGCTAATGTTCAGTGATGACACGCACATACACACGAATCTAGGTCTCAGCCTCTCTCACCCTTGTGTTGCACACAGAGAAGATCCAGAGGGTGTGTGAGGGTTTGGGGAGAAGGGATAAAATTCTGACTGTGACAAATGTCAGGGGCAGACTCAAATGTCCCAATTTTCTCCTGTTTCCTTCTTATGCTCTGTCTGAAGGACAAAAGAGAGGGACAATTAGAAACGTGGGGACAGACTATTGAGAGATCTTGTAATTTCAGCCTTCATCCCACTCTCTAAAGAACTGAAATGTTATGCTCAGCTGTACCTTCTTCTCTGCATCAGTGGTTCTCAACACTGACTGAGAAGTCCCCAAACCAACAACACCAAACCAACAACACCAGCATTGCCTAGGAACTTGTCAGAAATGCAAATTCTTGGGTCCCTGCCCAGATTTACTGAATCAGAGACTCTGGGGTTAGGGCCCAGCACCACACACTGAAGTCTGAGAACCACTGCTCTATATTAATGTCATGAGAAGAGTGAAGGTCCCTTAGCATTATTAGGAGGGAAAAAAATCTCAGAAAGAGTAAAAGAATACTGGCTTCAATTTTTATGCTTTTATTGTAAGAATGTTAATAAAAAGATGTTCAAAAGATTTTTCTTCCAATTAAAAAAATAACACCCAAGGTAGAGAAGATAAAATTCAGAAAAAGTACAAAGAGAAAACACCCATTATTCTACCATCCAGAAATAACCACGTCTATAATTTTGAACTATTCAAGAAGCTACCTGTGCCATGGGTTTCACACAGCTCAAGTAAGAAAGACAAATACAGTGTCATGTGATGAGGGCTGTGACAGACACTCAGAGAGGAAGGATCTAATTCGGGGGGTGCGGGGGGGGGGGGTAGAAGGGAGTAGAAGTATTTTCTTCCAGTCCCCATTGTTACATGTTAGTTCTTATCATAACACAGCAGCACCTGTGGATAAAACCCCCTGAACACAGCCTCCTCCCGGTCAATCCCAGCTAGGATGTCCACCTCGACGAGGTTTCCAGGTCCTATACCTCCCGACTTCCTCCCTGGTTTTCACTGACAGCCCATCATCTTACGTTCATTCTTCTTCACTTTGCTTAGACTCCATGGTGAACATTACTGTTCTGCCTGCGTAAAGCCTACTCCTCTTTCTTCTGCCAACATTGTCATCTTATTTTTGGAAATCTCCCCACTCCATACTTTAAGTTACGCAGTTCATCATCTGTTTAATCAGTTACCTTCTCTTTCTGGCCTAGACTTCATGGTCTATTATTGTGATGACTTTGTCAATATAATCAATTCCCTTACCTTAATACCTTCTCCTGGGCGAAATCTCAATCCAAGACCAATCCAGCTGCCTATCTCTTCTGGCCATATATCCTGACTGCTAAGTACTGAGAGAATAAATATTTTTTAAACCATAAAACATAATATATAGTTTCCAGTCTCAGCTGGGCCTTCAAAGTTGCCCCCAAAGTACAGCTATGCTTCCCCAATCAGCAGTCTCTTTGTTCCCCTTAGAGATTATTCCAAACCTTTCCTACTTCTCAAACCTCAGCAACTCCCCACTACTCTTATCAGAAAACCTTGCCTCCAGGTAAGAAATCCCCCAATTTCCTGTACCTTAACCTACAAAATTGGCAGCATTCATACCCATCCTTTCCTTCTTCAATCTTGTTGTAATACACTCTCAACCCTGTCTCTTCCCAGGTTCTCAGAGACCCTGTACTAGTTATCATCCTCTCTCGTTATCTCAACCTCTACCTTGCTCTTTCCTGTGGCTTCTTCCTATTAGCATTTAAAAAATTAAAAGACTATCATTTACTTGATTACCAATCACATTTCTCCAAAGAAGATAATATACAAATGCCCAACAAACATATGAAAAGATGCTCAACATCATTAGTCTTTAGGGAAACACAAATAAGCCACAATTAGAAAACACTTCACATCTACTAGGATGGCTAATATCAAGAAGATGGACAATAACAAGGGTTGACAATGAGGGAGAGAAATTAGAATTCTTAGCACATTGCTGGTGGGAATGTAAAATGGCGCAGCACCGGTGGAAAACACACCTGTGCTGGCACTTCCTCAAAAAGTTAAACATAGAATTACCATGTGACCCAGAAATTCAATTTCTGGGTATATACCCAAAAGAATTAAAAACAGGTGCTCGAAATCAAAACTACAATGAGATATCATCTCACACCAGTCAGAATGGCCATCATCAAAAAATCTAGAAACAATAAATGCTGGAGAGGGTGTGGAGAAAAGGGAACACTCTTGCACTGCTGGTGGGAATGTGAATTGGTACAGCCACTATGGAGAACAGTATGGAGGTTCCTTAAAAAACTACAAATAGAACTACCATATGACCCAGCAATCCCACTACTGGGCATATACCCTGAGGAAACCAAAATTCAAAAAGAGTCATGTACCAAAATGTTCATTGCAGCTCTATTTACAATAGCCCGGAGATGGAAACAACCTAAGTGCCCGTCATCGGATGAATGGATAAAGAAGATGTGGCACATATATACAATGGAATATTACTCAGCCATAAAAAGAAACGAAATAGAGCTATTTGTAATGAGGTGGATAGACCTAGAGTCTGTCATACAGAGTGAAGTAAGTCAGAAAGAAAAAGACAAATACCGTATGCTAACACATATATATGGAATTTAAGAAAAAAATGTCATGAAGAACCTAGGGGTAAAGCAGGAATAAAGACGCAGACCTCTTAGAGAATGGACTTGAGGTTATGGGGAGGGGGAAGGGTGAGCTGTGACAGGGCGAGAAAGAGTCATGGGCATATACACACTAACAAACGCAGTAAGGTAGATAGCTAGTGGGAAGCAGCCGCATGGCACAGGGATATTGGCTCGGTGCTTTGTGACAGCCTGGAGGGGTGGGATGGGGAGGGTGGGAGGGAGGGAGACGCAACAGGGAAGACATATGGGAACATATGTTTATGTATGACTGATTCACTTTGTTATAAAGCAGAAACTAACACACCATTGTAAAG